AATGTATACCTCATATTAGATTCTTTAACATTTCATCTGAAGCATTTAATGAAAAGGTTGTTCCATACATTGAATTATTACCAAGAGAGTTGCGATCTGATCTGCTTTATTATCATCCGCAAAATAACTACAAACCTAAAACGCAAATGTTACCACAAAGGAAGGGACAGCAAAAGGATTGCAAACTGACAAAGCCAATTACAATGTTATCACAAAGGAAGGTACAGCGACCTGATATTGATTCAGTTGTCATTAACAAACAACAGGCATTATGGATCTTACAGAAAATCGCAGAATCAACACAAAATGGCCGAGCTTTATTTTGATCCATTCATTGCGCGTTTATTTTGACAACTGGTCGAGTTACATATATGCAGATTATTTCTAAATCTTGTGCCATTTTTTTGAACCCCATTGTATATATTAATATGTAACAATTCGGACAGAAAATTAGGCGGAATGTGTCATTTGGAATTAAAAAGTATTCACGTCATCTCTAATAAAGGACTTTAATTCGAGAATGTTTCTATTAATTCATAAATATTTTCGGTCATACTTCTGTTGAGAATAAGACTTCCTTTTGCCATGTAAACAGCTGATTCCATGTAACATCAGTATTAAGGGCTCGTATTAGTATAACTCCGTATCAAATCATTTGTCAGTGACACTCGCAATGTTTTCAACGCTTCCTAGTAAATCATATTGTACTGGGCAAGGTCACGTTACTACAATTTTTGTACAGTCAAACTCCTCTAAATGCATCTCCTCTAAATGCATACTTTTGTCTGAATGCATATTAATATGCAATCGATTTTCATAAATCTTATAGTATTCTAAACGCATATCACGTGATGTATTATATCAATTTTTCTCGAGGCAATTCTAATTTATCGTTAAAAGCTTTCTTTATTAATATCGCTTAATTACACATTCTAAATCATTCATTAATACTCCTATCTTACTCTACAACAAAATAATTATCCAAACTTTTTTGTACAAGCGATTCTACCTTCAATCTTTCTAATACATCATTTTTCCTTAATTGATATTGGTGGTGGTTCCGAGTTCTCGTCTTCATCCTCTATTGCCATGTCTCTTTCCTCGGTTTCTCTTGAACTGCAAAAAAAGCTCAACAACTTCTCCATCAGTAAACTGTCTATCAATGACATTTTCGTTTTCTGGGTTTAAAAAGTCATCGGATGCTGATAGCATAATAATTGTATATCGGTTTATTGCTCTTGTAATTTCATGCTCTTCAATATTATCATCGCTTTCTACCTCTGTTACTCCCTCTTCATCTCGGATTTGACATGTCGGTAATTGTCATAGTTGTCACATCTTGCCACGATTCTCGGATAACAAGATTGCCTCTAAAATCGATAGTTTACTCTTTTTCAAATTGTTCCAACAAGCGTCGCACAAACTTCTTCCGATAATGCGCCTTGAAAGATGCAATTATCCCTGCATCACAATGCTGTAATCGTGATGTCCAAGATTCTCCGTTGCGGTCCATATCGTCGTACAGAACTACGTATTCCCTCGTTGTTAATAATTACAACCAAATTTAAGCGGATGTCTCCGTCTCCCTCCAATGCTTCATAAGGACAGCGGATGTTGTGTTTGGTGGTAAAAATTTGATGGTTGTATTATTCAACTCCAACACCGGCAACAACATGACATGGCGCGTTATCAAGAAGAAGGAGAACTTTCCGCCCTTGCATTTGTTGATCAAAGTAATGTAACCATTCCTGGAACAGAATAGCTGTCATCCAAGCTTTTTTGTTATATCGATACATTACTCCAAGGTTTCCAAGATTGACGTTTTGAAACAACGGGGGTTTAGCGCTTTGGCCAATGACAAGTAGCTTTAAATCACCACGCATTCGAATTTGCTTTAAATTATGTCGCTTTTAAGCCATCCATTTGAAAATGTTAGTGGTATTCGCGCAGGCACTATTCCAGCAGTGCTTTCTCAAGTTCTGGAAATTTTACTTGATCGATTTTCACTTTTAACGTCTGTACACAAAGGCGTGAAATTTGCTTGAAAAAGCAGAATAACCAAATATTACCCAAAACGATCTTGTTGAATGGTGAATATTTGTCAAGGTCGTTTTTGTCATTGGAAAGAACGAAAAATATATCCAATCAATTGCATTTGCTCCATATCATGTGACTATCTTCTAAATGCAAATTCCAGGTATTGCACAGTGAAATTCACTTTAACGAAGATCGCTTTATAACGAAGTTCTTTCCAGAACGGATTCATATATTTCATATAAAAAGACAGTTCACTTAAGCGAACTTTCAGGTTAACGAAGCAAAATCGTGGAACGAATGTCTTCGTTAAAGTGAATTTCACTGTGTAGTATGCATTTGACTGTATCGATAATTGTATTAGTATACATACAATTTTATTAAAATTTTATTAAAATGGCTTAATACTTTTGAACAAAACAGAATCTCTGCGGTCCCGACAGGTTGCTTGTATCGATAATTGTATTAGTATACATACAATGACGAGAAAACAAAATTAAAGAAAAAGAATTAGCCAAAATATTAAGTGAACTAACCTCGTCAATGGCTTTGGGTCCGAGTATTTCCTCCCATGCAATCTCACAGCTCAGTACCGAATAAAACGGCTGCTAGCATACAGTACGATATCACACATGGGCTTCCTACGCAGACTTCGCTGCTAGACGTTACACAAACATGTGACTATGGATCTGCGACTATTAATTACAACGTGTATGAGAAGTGACTGTAGCAACAGATAAACGACAACAGCGAAAATGCCAATTGCTTTCCGTCGTTCTTTACGGCCAACAGTAATCACCAAATCACGTTGTTCACGAAAGTATCATGCAACACAAATAGTACGGGAGGAGAAAAACATAGAGAATGTAGCTGATATCATGACAGATGATAATTTGGAAATTGACGAACAAAAAGACCAACAACCCATACAACGTGATCGAAGGTGGAAGGTGAAGGCATGGCTCCAAGAGCAAGAGCAGCGACTTGAAATCTTGCGAGGGTCAAAATACCTCGCCGGCACCAATGTAAACACATATTACTTCCGAGTCTTTAATAATCCGCTGTGTACGTCTGAAAGTCTAAATTTAACCACGTTCTGTTCCCCTCCCTTACGATAGCCATTCCCAATGAACCCCCTTTTTAAACCTCAACCGCCCGTATCAGATGCAAAACGCGAGGAAATATACCGACTTTTCGTCGATGATCGGCTCACACCCCGTAATATTGCTGATAAACATGGAATCTCTATCAAACGAACAGAAGCAATATTAAAATTGAAAGATGAAGAAAAAAAGCTCATGAAAAAGGTGAACGTCGAACATTTGCCTATCGGATATTGCGTTTGAATGGCTCGCTATTGAATGTATGCTTACTACATTATTTGCAAAGGGTGTAGTATTGCAGCGGGATCTTCAAACTAACATGGAGAAAATGCTCGGAGTTGAAAGTCTCACAAGGGCCATTGAACCATTGAGCACAATTATTCCAAAAGTAAAGAAACCGCGATTTCAACTCATCGAAGAAGGCTCTAAATTCACACCGGATGTTAGTTATATGTCTTCTTATTACTACTATTCCACGATTATCAGCATCGTTAGTTCTTTTCTAATCTTCATCTTCTCAGGATGCTGCGCGAATATTAGGACGTGAACCGCTTGAGCAAATACAACAAAGACAGCTCGAGCATGAGCATTGTTATCCATTTTCACTCGACGATACCAAAAAGAAGGATGCTTTTCGCACTATCAAGAAGGACGATTGTGAGACAAATAAGAGGTTCAAATTTGTTTTTGTTGATACAGAGGTATGATTAGGGATGTGTAAGGGGTATCTGTAAGGGCAACGATCTAGATGCTGCGACATCCGAAGTTAATCAATTTGTTCTTGATAATAGAAAAAGAAAACTTTGATACGTGAACAGGATGGGACATTGCTTGAGAAAGTTGACGTTGATTCTGACATGGCCATTGCCAATAAAAATAGTAAAACGGGTTTATAATTCATTTCTATCGCAAGAGTGAGGCGATTGTTGTAGACCGCTTTTTCCAATTGCCAACGTGTTCGACCGGTATTCTGCTATACGATATCATGTCTAGGGCAATGGTATCAGACAATACGATCAAAGAATAATTTATTGATTTTATGAGTGTAAACAATCATTCATTGTATATCCTCTTGAATGTAAGCGCAACGCCATCTAAGAATTCGTTGGTTGTAACATAATGCTCCCTGCGTAGACTGTATTGCCAAATAGTTTGAGTCAGTATGAGCAAATTTGAAGGTTTGAGGTTTCTAATAAGGCTGGTTTTTTGTTTTGTTCTTACAAAATTATTACTAATATTAATATCAAAACCCTGTACTCATACCAATAATTCAGAACTATTTTTTTGAGCTTCTCTAGTTCTTTTCCTAGTTTCTTTTTAGTCGATTACTACACCCTATCAATCCCGTTCTTCTACTCTTATTTGGATACTTACTTCTTTCCGTGGATTGTCAATGCAAGATCCTTGGTTAGTTTGCCTTCGACGTCGACAGTGTCTATACAAGCTTTCTCTAAATCGTGTGAAAACTTGAGTAATTTATTGTTATTATCTAATTGTGCTCTATGTGCTAATCCACGTGTCCATGCAAAGATAGATGCAATTGGATTTGTTGACGTTTCTCTTCCCTATATTTAAGCATGGTTAGAGAACTTGTAAAAAATATTCGTGCTTGTCATCAGATAATCAGCTAACCTTCTGGTGTTCACGATAGTGCCTTGTGACGGTGCCTATAGAAGATCATCGTTGTAAGAAGGCTTTGACTTTTAACATATGTAACGACAGGACTATTGTTCATTCGCTCAGTGTTACCATGTGCAGCTTCGGCTTCCATTGTCTTTCCATCGGGCGTTAGCAATACGCTTGTCATCAAACCCAACGAACCATACCCTTGCGCTATTATGTCAGATTGTACATCTCCATCATAGTTTTTACAAGCCCATAAAAATCCCCCCTCTGATTTGAGTGCCTGAGCCACCATGTCATCAATTAACCTATGTTCATACCAAATTCCCTTCTTCTCAAACTCTGATTTATAATCACTAACAAATATAGATCAACAAGTTAGGTATATAGGACAGATCGATGGTTAACGATCTGCCATCGACTAAGCAATGTAAACAAAACACTTAAACTTACGATTCATATATCTCTTCGAATATATCTTTAAATCGACCATCATATTTCTTGAGTATCGTATTCTTTGTACTGAGATACTGAAATTGAAGACATGTAAGCAATTGTATTTGCTTAAGAATAGCCGTTACTTATCAGTAATTATTACCATCGGCATTCCCTTTTTTAGCGCCATTTGGAAACTGCTGTGTGCGAATCCCTTAATAGACTGGTTAACGCAACAATATTAGCTATATAATCGCAACATTGTAGTCATTAATGTTCATTGTTAGCACAGTACACTCACATTGTCTTTGTTATACATTGCTAGCGACACACCGGGACTCTGTAGTAAAGGCAAAATAGTCAAGCTTTTTCCAATAATACATCAATTATGCTTTGAAGTTCGTTGATTACGTACGTCGAACTTATGAACAACAAGCGATGTCTCTGAATTACCGTCTTCGGGAATAAAACTCAGTTTTACGGTACCAGGACCAGGAATAAGCATCTCCGTGGCATTATACTATAGAAAAATCACGTATAATTAGTGAAAACAGCGTATGCTTTACTATAAATCGGTTAGTTCTTGGTACTCAACCTGATCAGCATGCGCATGTCTACCAACGACGATTGGCTTATTCCAACCAGGTACAATCCGAGGAACACTCTTCATCAGGATTGGTTCACTGCGCGAACAGACATGTACGTTAGTGAAGCCTTTGATTATCGCGTGAACAGAAACAATATACAATACCGAAATACAACTCCGTTCAAGATATTTCGTATCGTGCCATTAGGCGACTTCCACATTCGCTTCAGATTGAATTCTGCGTAGTTGTCGATAAATTTTGTTGTGACATCATAGTTTAAACGGCATTCACAGTCTCGTTGCTCACCTTTAACTCTAGCCTCATCGGGAGTAATTGTAGCACACTTAATACCAACGTTATATTTTTTAATGGCGTTGGCTGCATCAACCGTGACTTTATCGTCAGTCTAGGAGGAATAACAGAGACTTGTAAATATTGACGTAAAGCATATATATATTAGTGAAAGGAGAATGTAATAGGATAAGGATAGTAAATAATTACAGCATCTCGGTTCTCAATTCCCAAATCATAGTATTTGAGGTCTATGTTGAGATAAGGATAAATCAGCTGGAGAAAAAAGATCATCTGTCAGTCATATAATAATTAAATTATATATTGTCGAACGCTAAAGAAAGAATTTGCATATGACTCACGCTCTCTTTTATTCTTGACCATATGATTCTGGTCATTTCATCTCCGTCCAACTCAACAACTGGATTGTCGACAGTAATCTTTGAATTGGATGAATCTGTGAAGGGCATTATGGTATGTATCGGAATGTGATTCAGAATAATGATTTATAGCTTGCTCGTCTATATGTGCAGAGCATTTGTATGCGATACATACACCATCTCGCGTTGCTAAATGATAGGCATTTGAGTGTTGTGTGTGGTCTTACACTCCGCGCCAGCTGAAGTTGTCTAATAGAATACATGGTTTCCAGTTAGAAGAGAGAGAACTATGCATTTATGATATTTGTCGGATACCGCTAAATGAGTGGAACTGTCACGCAATGTAATTAATCATAGATCGCTAGGCATCAAGATGATCAGAGATTTCAGGGGTTGAGAACGCCCACACTTCCTACTTGGGTACACTCAATAATAATATTTATGACTGAGAAAAAAATTTCAGTCTTGTCAGGCATAAAAATTGAGCACTAAAGAACCGAAATAGTTTAACGACTTTTTTTTTTAAAACATAAACTTGTTATATAATGTGATCATTTTAATGGTAAGCAACATAGCATGGGTGGGAAGGAATAATTGATCCAAAGTTTTTCTATTGCTTTATAATATAGCTCATAATATTTGCTCTCTATTCCTATGGACGGGCACTCGCGTAATCCGTTTCCGGCGTCATTTTGTTGACTTACTATTGTACTAATACTAGATAAATTTTTAGCGATGCAAGTGGTTTTTATCAAGATTATCAAGTTTAGATTTGACAAATTTTTTTATTTAGGAAACTTGTGCTGTGCTAAGTCGTACAATTACTGAAATTTAATTTTTAAATTTAGTTCAGGGTAATCTTCGTGACTAGTCAATATCCCCGTCACTCACTATTATTTACTTTGTGTTAATAAGAATGGTATGAGCCTAGGTTGTGTCGACAGATTGACACTTTCCGCTCGCGTAATTGCGTACCAATATTAATATCTTTCGATCTAATCGATAGCCCATCCCGTATCAACTCTAGATACTTTAAAAAAAGAGCTTTTTATTACAAAAGGGCTTGCAACTAACTAATAAATATCAATTGGAATTAACCTTTTTTGACGATGGAATTTGTATCTTTTCGCAGTCGATGATTCTCTGCGCATTTCCATTTGCTTGTTTTATCATGCCTATCCTTCCGCGAGATTGCTCAATGACTTTACCCTTTTTATTTCCCTCGATTTCGTGAAGCCGACACTGACTTCTGCGCCTCCCATTTGCGAGGTGTTAAGATTCAATCTGAACGGGCAGCTTCATCTTTTTGGTTGATCGTGAAATTTTAACCTAAAGATCACGTGCGTGAACAATTGTTCGGGATGTAGCCCGCGATACATGCAAAAATAATCAAAGTCTAATGTTCGCGGACTATTATACATAATTGTTTTTTCAAACGATACCCCTTATTCTATTACCTCACCCCCCGGAGGTGAAAATTGTTCTGGGACTCGAAAACTTTTCGCATTAAATATAATTGTTAATAATATCAATAAACTTGATTAAAGCTTCCACGGAAAATGCAATCTCCAGACTTTTGAAAATTTATATTGTTTGGAGGATATAATAGCAATTCGGTATTGGTGGTATGCCATTCGAGCAAGAGAAAAGCCGACGTGGATGCAGAAGCTAATGTACAAGCTAATTTACGCCCTTACCTCCAAAATTGCAGTTGACACGAGTAAGTTAAAGGTAGGGTATATTCGGCTAATAATTTGATGTGCCAAAAGCCTTAAAGCTCATTTGGTGGAAACCTTTCAATTACAGATGTGCTCGGTTTCATCTTTGCTGAATTTGAATTTAAACAATACGATAATTTAGGAATGGTGGAGGCTGTACTTTTTCAATGCCATAAGTGGAAAGCATTTTATTATGATGCAAAACCGGATTTGTCTCAAATCCAAGTTTGAGTTACACTATTCGCATTTTTGACTGGTGTCTTGTATCGTACAGTGTGGAGAATTGAGAGCGCCACAAGTGAGTTGGCAACATACCAGATTGAAGCTCTTAAAATTATTTAATACACTTTCTATCGAATCCAATTTTTAATTTACATCTCACTTGAGCTGTTTTGGTTTTTAACTCTCAGCCAACATAAGTCCAAATTTTTCTAGTGATATGAAAGATTGTGCAAAAAGGCTTTGCTTCATAAATCTTCTTTGGACTTGCTTGATCCCATGACTAAATATCTTAGCCAACAATGTCTAACTTCATCAACTAATGAGAATTAACATAGAATTCAACCCAAATGTCTAATCGAATAAGACTTTCCCAATTTCTCTCGCTCCAATCTGATTAGATGAGGCGTATCAGTTAATAATTCGAGTTTCCAATTCGTTTCTACCCTATAAATTACAATCATCCTATAAACTGTGATTCTTGGGCACGATTAGCCAATTTTGTACATGTTACAATTTATTAAAAAACCAAACTTCTATGACAGAAACGTCTGTCTTAATTAAAGGGGATATTGTTTATCAAATTTTTTTAGACAAATATGAGAGTAGCATTGTGATACGGCAATTATCGGCAAAATTCACATTGACTTTCGTGTGTATTAGTGTACGACTAGATTGACGCAATTGAATGTTTGCTATCGAAACTCGGATTGCACATACCTGTCCAACGCTTGATTGTTCGTGCGTGTCACTGAGATTACCTTTATATCTGCAAACTTATTTTGAACCGAGAATGGGTCATATCGTCATATCCTAGTACAAGTTAGTCGATAGTTTGAAAATAAAATGCCATATGCGTTACACAGGGCATATTGATCAGTAACTACTATTGTTCAGGATGCGTGTTTGTATATGCTTAGATTGTCGATTGACTATAAATGGGTGAACGTGGGGAAGAGCAACTTCCAATTTCGGGAAGATTGTCACCATCAATGTTCGTCCCAAAAGAGAAATAAATACCTGGAAAAAAAAGTTCAACCGGTTTATTTCTTGCATACCGATAATAGTAATGGGCAAAGGCAGCAGAACAAGACAGTCTCTTCGTCAACTCCCTTCTGACATAGACAATTCTAACACAGCTCAAGATCACTTATACAAGAAACATCATTACATCTCGAAGAGAAGATCAGACGACGAGGGATGGAAAGAAGAAAAACCGCCGTATTATGTTTTGCTGACCACATATTTCTCTTATCTTGTACTTATATGCTTTGGTCATCTGAGAGACTTCTTCGGGAAGAGATTTAGAAGTAAGAATTATCGACATCTGAGAGAACAGAACGTAAGTATGAATTCGCATTGCATCGGATGCACGAGATTAAATTAACTTGCATTTGTGGATGGTATACCTTCACCATGCATTCATTCTCCCCATTGGTTTAAGTTTTATCACTATCAAACGTCGAGATAACTATTGTTTTTGCAATCTTAACTTTATCTTGTCATCTTAGGGCTATGCACCACTGAATTCTGACTTCGACAATTTCTACGTGCGCCGTCTAAAATGTCGTATCAACGACTGTTTTAGTCGGCCTATTACTGGAGTCCCTGGTCGTAAGGTTACCCTCCTCGAACGCGAGACAAAAGACTATTGCAGAACATTTCAATTAACTGGAAACACTCGCGAATGCCTAAATTTAAGCAGTTATAACTATCTTGGATTCGCTCAGAATAAGGGTCCATGTGCGGATGCTGTTGAGGCCACAATCAGAAAGTATGGTGTAGCTGTGTATAGTCCGAGGATGGAAGTTGGTAAGAGAGGTTTGGGAGAAGAGACTAATTAGTGGAAATCACGCGTTGAAAATATTCAAAATTGATTACTGAAATATGCTATCCTCTGAACTTGTCAAAGAATACAATTAAATTGCGTCCTCTTCCTTAAAATATAAGGCACGACCGATCTACACCACCAAGTTGAATCTCTTGTCGCTCGCTTTGTCGGCAAGCCCAGTGCTATGGTGATCTCTATGGGCTATGCAACGAACTCGACAACACTGCCTGCACTAGTCTCGAAGGGGTGTCTGATAATCTCCGATGAACTTAATCATTCTTCGATTGTCTTTGGGTCTAGATTATCGGGTGCATTTATTCGTGTCTATAAACATAATGATATGAATGAGTTGGAGACCTTGTTGAGAGAGTGTATTTCACAGGGACAGCCGAGGACACACAGACCATGGAAAAAGATTTTGGTTATCGTAGAGGGGATATATTCTATGGAAGGGAGCATTTGTAATTTACCAAAGATCGTAGAGTTGAAGAGGAAGTATAAAGTAAGTAACGGTGAGGTAAAAAGGGAATAGATAGGCATTAAGAAGTTTCTAGTGCTTGAAGTTTGTATATTGTTCTGCGTTGATCATAACCAACTTGGGTTAATTGGTGATTTCCCAATATGGTCAAGTAGTGCATTAGCACAATGTTATGAAGTTGATGTCAGAGACTTAACTAATACAATGACCATCCCTTACTTCGTCAGTTTCACTTGTACGTAGACGAAGCACACAGTATAGGAGCCTTAGGTCCTCGTGGGAGAGGAGTATGTGATTACTACGGCATAGACCCGTCTGAGATTGACATTCTCATGGGTACATTCACCAAATCCTTTGGAGCAGCCGGAGGTTATATTGCTGCGTCTCCGGAAATAATCTCTCATCTTCGTCTTTTCAATTATTCATCAATATATGCGGAATCTACCTCTCCGATAGTTCTCCAGCAAATATATACCTCTATGACCATTATTATGGGTGAAGATGGCACAGAAAATGGACGAGAAAGACTGGAAAGGCTTGCTTTCAATGCGAGGTATTTGGGGACGAATTTGAAAAGACTAGGGTTTATTCTGTACGGAGACAGAGACTCGCCTATTTTACCATTATTGTTATATAATCCGGCCAAAATTCCGGCGTTTTCGAGGGAACTGTTGAAGAGAGGGATTGCAGTTGTAGTCGTTGGGTATCCCGCGACCCCCATTATTTCTTCTAGAACGAGGTTTTGCGTGAGTGCTGCTCATACTAAGGAGGATTTAGATGAGATCTTGAAGGTTTGTGATGAGGTCGGGGAAATTTTACAGTTGAAGTTGTCGAATAAGTCACCAGGGCTAAGTATAGAGGATGTATTGAGAGATGGGGAGATAGGGTTGTGAAGTTAGTAGGCTTGGACTAGGATGCGTTGCTGAAATAATATAGAACAAAATATAGACAAGGTGACTATTACTATGAGAACGTTAGAATGCTACGACGGAAAATGAATCCTTTGAATGTAACATGTAATATTTATATTGTAAGAATAAGAATTGAGTTTAACAAATTTCCATCTTCGGCTATTTTTCTTTGGGGAAAGTGAAATGCAACATTGTGAAGCAACCGTAGAATGGCCAGTTCGCAGTTGCTAATTGGGGTAGATCGCCATTATGAGCAAAATGTTAGGCAGATAAGTTTTCGCTTGTACTAAATAAGATGTTTACAAGGATTGTATGGGAAACCAGTCAAATACTTGTGAACGGAATCTTGGAAAGTTAAAATAGGATTTGAATCTTAATCAGCTAGGTGGGTGAAGACCATATGAAAAAAAAAATCTATTCAAATGATTGCGCCGAATTGGCGAAGGTTATGCGAAGAATTTATCAGGAAAATCACGTTACTCCATTATTAATGCAGGTTTGAGCAAAATTCTCTAATGTTAATATATACCATTATCTAGCGCGCTAATGAATGTCGATCATGTTCTAAATGTATAACACAGTGTTCCTGCATGATTACATCATTCGAGCAACTTATTAATTTCTTAGAGCCTTATCTAGTTATAAAAACTGCGGTCAGAAAGTTAATTCGAAGCTCAAGACTGCGGCACAGCGATTGTTTAGACTAATTCGAACTATAATGTCAGTTACACGAATAGGCGTTTTTTCGAATATATATATTAAGCGGTATTTGTCAATTACATTGCCAACTACCTTGCCAACTACCTTGTAATGGAAGAGACATCCACGCTTCAGATCCAAGCATACTTAGACGAAATCAATGTCGTCAAAGCATTAAGAGGGAGACAACTTACCGACCAAGACATTGCAATTGATATGTTTGAAGAAGAGTTAAAGAAACTAGTTGAATCTAGGAGGAAAGTTAATGAAACGAGGAAAGTCAATGAAACGAGGACAGTTAATGAAACGAGGAAAGTTAATGAAACGAGGAAAGTTAATGAAACGAGGAAAGTTAATGAAACGAGGAAAGTTAACGAACCGAGGAAAGTTAATGAGACGAAGAAAGAGCAGACCAAATCCAAGTACAAAGGTAACATAAAATTATGATATGATATGGATAGGGTTGCTGCCGAAGAGAGCAGATATAGAATACCACATAATAATATTAGGAGTCGTAAGCATTGTTTCAAACAATATATCGATACATAATTAATCCAGTGTATAAAATTTCGTTCTTTTCAAGGCAAAGCATCTGAATACAGAAGTATTAACGAGACCAGTAAACCTGACAAAACACCTACTGTAAAATCCCTATCAAAGAATGATCCCCGTATTCCTCACCTTGAAAAGCTAACCTCATCGACATCCAATTGCGTTGCCTGTTTTGAATCGTGCACGGTATACTCTGTTGCTTGTTCCCATGCTTTCTGTATGGACTGCTTCCGTCAGTTGTTTATCTCGGCTACAACAGACGAATCATTGATACCAGTGCGTTGCTGTGACAAAATTATTGGAATGAAACACGCTCGAGCCATGCTATTTCCGAGAGAATTTGAAAAGTTCAAAAAAAAATGTTTGGAAGTAAGGTCAAGAAACAAAGTATATTGTCCCGTCAAAACATGTTCTGAGTGGATCTTGGTAAATAAGAACCAGACAGAAGTTGAATGTAACAAATGTCGTGCGCGGATCTGCACCAGGTGCTCCACCCTTGCGCACGAGAACACAGATTGTCCGCGGGATGAAGAGCTTTTGAAACTCAGAGAACTCGCGTCCACAGCTGGCTGGAAAGACTGCCCCCAATGCCACTTCATCATTGAACTTACTATTGGTTGCTACCATATGACATGCCGTTGCGGTTACCAGTTCTGCTATCTCTGTTCTGCTAAATGGCGCACTTGCAATTGTCGTCAATGGGATGAAGTTCGTCTTCAGAACGAGGCTCGTACACGAATTGTAAACATCCAACCACAGCTGGCTGGTGCACATCTGGAGAGAAGAGTCGGAGAGTTCGCAGAAGAATTAAGGGTGAGACACGAATGTAGACACAAATGGGAGAACAGGAGATGGGATTTTGCTCGAGATTGTGGGAACTGCAATTGGAATATGATTTGGTATGGATGGGAATGTGAGACATGTTTATGGAGGGTTTGTGCTAAGTGCAGATTTCACAGAATTCGAGTCAACAGACGAGTAGGTAGTGAAGCGAATGCGAGTTCATCTGCGCAGACACCTAGGCATACCACCGCAGTTTCATCTAGAAGGATAACTAGCACTGTTACTGCAAGTTCGTCAACAAGTACGAACAATCATTCCAATACAAACCCAATCAATTACTCAAACAGTTCCCGTAGGACTATGACTGACAGGACCACTCCTGCAAGAGCATCCTCAAATGCGTCCGCAAGTACAAGTAGAACCATTGGGGTGAGTGCGCCTACAAATACAAGGGGAATCGTTAGTGCGAGAATCATCAGTGCGAGCTCACCTGCAAGAACCATCGGAGTGAGTTTATCTGCAAATACAAAGAGAATCATCAACGCAAGCTCAACCGCAAGTACAACATATGCAAATTCAAGAAGTTCACTTGCAAGTACAAGTGGAACAACCAGAGCAAGTTCAAGCAGAAGCTCTGGTAGTATGTATCAATCAGGAACTATATCAAGAGACACAAGTAGAAATATCGCTAAACCTAACAGTTCATCCTTCGGTTCGTCATATATATCGAATAATTACGATAGTTATTATGGAACTAGGGTTAGTTATCCGCAAAGTTCACCGTCAATCGTTAATCGGAGCTGTAAACAAAAAGAATCGCAGTGTATTCTCTTATAGACTGGAATTTACCATATGAAGTTTAATATGTGTTTTTGTTCATGGACTATAGGAGTAGAGTGTATAGCAACATTTGGAGGGGCATATAATGGAATATATTACTATAAAATATTATCGATAAACAGTATGTAACAGTATTAATTAGTACAATAAAGTTATTATTATTCTGATCAACGACACTTAGGTATTATAACTCGTGATACTAAATTTGACTACGTGACGTTCAGCAGATAAGGTACTGATAATTGTGTGAATAAAAGTTCCTCACGATAGGTACTGATAATTATTTCTAGCCTTCATTTTTACAAAAAAGACATTCGCGCGAATTTTCATTTTCGATCAGGAGAGATAGGTTGTCGCTAATATCGACGACGGACGTATTATGACTGTCGTAAGCGAAAGATCCTCTGTACATTGCTTAGCGTATTTTTTTTTTTTTTTTCGTTGACAACCAAAACAATCCCACACACATGTGCAAGCCTCGCATAAAAAAGTATAATACATAACTTGGTTTGCAAGCTTTTCAATGGTAACGAGGTCCTCGGAGTGGACAATCTGCGACAACATAACATCCAAAGAGTTTTTAAGTGCAGGATCAGATAAAACCGGGATTGATTGCTTTTCTTATTTACATGCATTTCTTGTTCATAGACTGTATATACACAATATATTAGATAGCAAAATCACAAATCTACCTAGAGCCGACTTGTATCCTACGAAAACGCCAAAATCAGGTTATGCAACTCAAATATTTAGGAAAAAAGTTAAAATTATTAATACACATATAACTTTGCACAAATTTATACTCATTTAAAAGCGCAAAAAACTGCTATCATATTTATAACATATTGCCCAAATATCTTGCTCCTTCATTGAGAAATCAAAATTTGAATATAGAGAGTACTATTCGCATCCCTTAAAGACATAACACGCAATGCAATTACCGTGAAGTTAATACACAAAAAATTGCGTGTGTTAGCTAGTAATATAATATAATTTTTATATAATTAAACGAGGGGAACTGGGATTTTGCTACTTTGGCAAGTTTGTGACTGGGATTTACTATAAATTTCGATATTTAAACGCAAAAAGGCATAGCATCGTTTACAACTTACATTTGAACCGTCCCAGCAATTCTGTTGGCGACCCCCGAACCTTTTTTGCTTGTAATATTGGACACCATTGTAAGTCACTTAGGATCGGATACGTTTAGTGTTAAAGGTGGAAAGTTTTTGAATACGTGTAACATGGACATCAAATACTTATCCTTTTTGTTCGATATTGAAATATGCCTTTAGTATTTTTCGAAAAAGCGAGCTCACTAGAGTAACTGCACGTGAGGAAAATACTCGAATCCAAAGCAATTAATGAGTATTTGTGGGAGGAATACATCACTACTTAATATTAGTCCTCTCAGCGCAGGCTTGTCTATAATGTGTCTCTACAAATTTACAATCACAAATCCGTTACAATAAATTATACACTAAGAAATCAAGCTACTCGGCTGTCCTCAATGCAAGTTTGTTAATGGCTAGGTACTAAAAGTAGTTTTTGTTACTATTACTATCAAAGAAACAATTTAGTTTGTGTAAATCTAAGTAAAATTACATTAGAAATGAAACTTCCCGTATTACTCTACCTTCCGTAAGTGGCCTAATCCGGCTTAATTCAGCCTCCTAAGCTTTCGTTCAACGACAATGACGCACACAAATAGATAATAATAATAATCATTAGTCGAACAGTGTACGTGTGTATTAATTACACATCTTTACAACAAATTACCGGATTTCATGAAATTTTACTAGTAAACCATATGAAAAGTCGTTCTTTTCAAAAGTCTCTCTTGCTCATGTATGCTATGCAAATGACAATAGTTTCTGTATTAATTGATTGTACTTTCGGAAAATAATAACGATAGATTTTACACATTATTATATAGTCGTAGCTCAATAAAAGGTAGTATATACAGTATGGTACGCGTGTATAACCATATATTTTCATATTGTAAGGTGAAATGGGATATTGTGGCACAGTCAAAATTTTTACTTAGACAACTATGTAACATCTTATGATATCTTTGACACATAATTTACGCTCAAATTTAGGACAAGTCTATCATAAAATATTGTTTATGACGAAACACTTTCTGCAGATGGAATAGAATTTTTGGGGAGGGTATTGTAGCAAATTTGCCTCTTTTACGTTATGCTGCTATCATGGTGAAGCTTTATTGTCAATTTCAGTCCCAGCCGGATGATGCGTGCTTCCTGACATTGTTTCCATACCCAACCCAATTTTTTCCCAATGATCCACTAAGGTAATTTCATTTGGACATTGGATAATGTTATTTAAGGCTTGATAGACGCGACATCCACTTCATGGATAGAATGCAGACAAAAATCAGATTCCACACCTCGAAATTTTCCGATTAAAAAATATCTCTGAAACTCCTGTAAGAACTAAACTTTGGTTTATTCTACTGCTTATCACGCGAGTGATAAACTATCAATCCACTCATATTGCCAAAAACGGTCCCTTCATATCAACTGTGCGAAATAATGTTGGTCTGCACCATTCGCCGAGAGTAGAGATGTGCTACTGTGATTACATCTCAGTCATATTATTGCATACTGAACTATTAAAATTAATAAAAACTTCAACGTAATATTTAATTAGTCTTTATTATTAGTAGTAGTATACAGTATATTAGTGCTCATGATCTGTGTACGATTGTAATAGCAAACATGTCATCACTATTATTGATCTGAATTCTCTATCACGGCTTAGACAAACTTATAGTGTGTTTCGACTTACAGTGTGTTGCGAAAAAAAATGGCGCGAAATAAACTTGTATATCTCAGCAATTACCCAACAGAGACAAATAAAGTGGATTTTAATGCTTATAAACTACTTTATTAAGTGTAAAAATTTTAATACGAAATATTATCACAAGTGAGAAAGGAATCAAGGAAAAGGGTGGTTTACTTTGCAAATGTAATTAATGACAAGTAATAGTAATAGTAAATAAATTATATAATATAGAAACCATGTAAACAAATCGCGTTTTTTTTTGTTACTCGAAAAACTAATTTTTCAATTCATGCGCCATTTTTTTCGCAACACACTGTATTACACAAGAACAAACTGTAAAAATGCCAACTTATTTATATTAAATAGTATTCTGTTACTCCAATGAAAAATATTGTCGACGACCAAAAAGGCAAACTTTAATTAACTATTATATTAAATAAAAGTAAGAGAGTAAAGTAAAAGACGATTATGAACAAAAAAAATTACAATGTATGTTTCAAAACAAAATAAAATTAATCGATATAAAAAGTAATATATAAAAAGACCTAAACAAACAAATGATTAAATTTTCAGTTCAGAAGAAAAAACCAAGACTTCCTAGCGAGAACGAGTTGAACAAATTTTGTACTGGACTTCGTTTTCATTAAAACTTATCAGATTTTATCTAACACAGACCTATGCACTTGATGGAAAACTCGCTTCTTCTGTTCGTTATCTTATGAAGGAAGCCAGCGAATTTGCATAAAGTCGTGTCTATTTCTTTTGTCACATCTTCGCAATAATATGGTCTGTCGATATTCAGCTTATATACAGTGTGGGACAAAAAAATCCGTAATTTAAGGTCGATTTAAACAATGTAAAATGTAAAATTATTGTAAGATAACGGAACTGCTCGTTTATAGGTACATTATTTGCACTAATAATATTTCTTAATTCCTTTAACATTCCCAAAATTTATTCGAGAAACATCAATTAGAACGATGACTTCCAGACACGAGACAAATCGTCAAGCTATGCAACAATTGTAGGATCAACGCATTCGGAATGGTGGAGATTCATAAACGCGAGGTTGTTCCCACAGTATGGTTTATGGTAACATTAAAAAACTCAAACAATCTGGAACCGTTAACCCTAGCCCTAACCTTATGTTAAAGGATCTTTACTTCTGCATAAGGGATAAGATTTTTTCCCGAAATAATGAGCAGCAATTTTATGTATACATACTCCGAAGACATTGATGACTTGTTAAGAGATGAATGGCGTTTCAACAAGACAATGACCTTAAAAACTTTCTTTGAGATAACATGCCTGAAGTTATAGACTGGCCCTTCTAACAGTCTTGACTCAAATCCAGCAGAGAATCTCTGTAATGATGTTAGAAGAAATGTAGAGAAAAAAATATTGGTGATTTGCGGTCAATAAGTGGGATAATAATAATATTCCACAACTAACCCTAATTGGTTAGTACGATCAATGAAACGTCAATTCATAGAAAGTAACGGTGAACGCATTCCATACTAAATTTTTTAATAAAATCCGCTGGTTTCGGCTTTCAAATGGTATAAATCCATCTTATTTGCACTACTGATTCTTGCGTAATGCGTAATTTTGTATTTTTGTCGTGTCCCATGCCTTCTTAGTTGTTTTTGCATAACGAATATTTTTATAGGCATACTAATACTATGAAGAGAACACAAGCTTTCTTTTTAGACTATCAACCTATTCTTGTTGAGCTGGCGAGCAATATCGCGAGTCAGAGCATAGATACACAGATACGATGTACTCCATTAAACTACATGCACGATTAATACAAGTTGTGTTACAAACTTGAATAACTTATCCGCGAATAAATGACAACCAAACCCTGCAAACCACAGTCAACAGAGGTTCGATATCAACGAAAGTTTTTTCCAACAGTCTGACAGAACGTGATGTGAATGGTGATCCGTAATAGGAAATAAGTAAACAGTGTACATGTTTTGTGTAAGCTATGCGCATAATGGTAGTTAGTAGAAAGGTATTTTTGTGCTCTAATATGGTAATGTCTTAGAAGGTAACATCGTTGGATGTTATTGGTCGATACTACAATCCTGTGTTCTCGTTTATTAACAAACTGGTAGCACACATTCTATTGCGTTTTGAATCCCAGATTAATAATCAAGAGTAGTGTCTAGGAAAACAACGTGTCACACATTAGAGATAAAACAAATATTAAAATGCCTGGGAGAGAAAAGAGCAAGGAGAAATCAAATACCTGACGAACCGAGAGAATCTCGTAGTCAGTAGTGAATATTATACAAGACTGCTTTATTAGTGTAGCCTGCTGTGTTGACCCCGACTATCAACCAAACAATTATATAATACGTCTTTGAAAGTCTACAACTAATCGAAAAGATGACTGTCCGCGTATTAGATGACTATTATCTTGGAATTACTGCAATCATCACGATTGCATACCAAATGAGTTTTTTTGTAATTGCTTGGTTCTGTCAATTTGATAAAGTGACGGACTTTGCTGGTAATGGATCCATTGTCTTATTGATTGGAGATTTACGTTAGTCTTGGATAATATGTAATGACGGATATGATATTATTATTATTTTTTTTGCTTAGGTGGATCGAACTTTGCTATCCTGGCGTTAATAACTTTGACATTCGGAGGAGTAAGTATCATTCCTTGTGAATTTACATAGTGCCTTTCATCCGTAATAACTAATCCTATTTATCAACAGACATATCACGACGGACAAATAGTAGCATCAGTCTTTGTAATTACATGGGGATTCCGCCTAGGACGTAAGTCATTCCGACTAATCTTTAAGCTCACTGCTAGCTCTTAACAAAATATTTCTAATCGAAAACCCGATTCTAGTGTTCTGCCTCTACAGAATACTTAAAACGGGCCACGACTCTCGATTCGATGGTCGTCGCGAGAACTTTGCTTCATTCCTTGGTTTCTGGATTTTTCAAATTATCTGGGTCTGGATAGTATCATTACCAGTGACCTTAGTAAACTCACCGAGAGTTAGTACAATGGAGTTAGACGGACGAGATGTTAAATTTGGAAGTGCTACAGATATTCTTGGGATTGTGCTTTGGGTCATAGGCTTTTTATGCGAAACTATTGCGGATGCACAGAAGGTAACTGTGGTATTTGAAAAAGTGCAGAGTGTAGATTAAACAGGTTATTAAGAAATAAGTAATGGATAATATACAACTGATATAAAATTAAACTTCTGATAAATCTTGATTGACACCTGTATTTGTAGTTCCGGTTCAGACAGAATAGAAAATCATCAAAAGAATTCATGAAGAGTGGAATCTGGGCGTGGAGCAGACATCCAAACTACTTCGGGGAGATTGTCGTGAGTAATCAAGAGGGAGACACAAACTGCTACTGTAATTTTAAATTACCAATTATTAAACTTTTTTTTGCTCTCAGCTTTGGTGGGGAATATTTCTGCTATGTCTTGAGCCAACGCTATCGGGCAATACTAAAGTCCCATGGTTATCGATTGCATCACCCATTTTTACCATGAGTATGATTACATCCTTTATTTATTCTCTCTTAATGTCTAAATTTCACTCGTTCTAATTTATTCCTTGCCGGCTCTCCTAGTTATTCTATTGGGCCTCTCAGGACTACCTTTTAATGAACGCCCGACAGCAGAGAAACAATACACTTCTGGCAATTGGGATAATTATTCCGCATATTTAAAAAGAACGAGCATACTTATTCCCTTCCCTCCGGTCATATACGAGAAATTCCCGCAGTGGGTGAAGAGCACAATATTCCTCGAATTTCCCATCTATCGTTATACACCTCAGAATGACATGGCCTAACGATCACAGAAAAGAAGATTTGGAATTGATTTTTGAATTATAGATTATATGTGTGACGTTGTAATTTACAAAGCATTAATATATGTATGATTATTTTTCACATTAAAACTTTGTTTAATCACAAGCAACCAGAAATTAAAGCTAATTTTACTATAAATTACCAAAGTTCTATGAGATTTTACTCTAGCTTGTATGGCATTCTAGTACTCAGCATGTTAATAATGCTGATTCCTAGATATTCCTTGCTTATCCTCAACAGCCTCTATTTCCCACACAACCTTCGTCCTCGCCATCTGAACTTTCTTCCTTCTATTCGATAACATCTTCATTATCCGGTCTTCCCTTCACCACCCTTCCACGATTCTCCTCCACCTGCACTCCCCGTTCCATCCTTGCGACCCCATACTTTTCCCGCCAGAACTTTAAACTTCGTTGCGGCTGCACCACCTCTATCAGTAATAAACCGCCTGTCGGTAGTCACTCCTGTTGCCAATGTCGTAACGTTAGCGAGAGAGTTTGTTATATAAGATCCCAGTTGCATCGATGATAATACAGGAGAGTTGTCTTGTAGATCATTATGTTGCGCAACGCGTTTCTGGAATAAGTCCGAGATGGCTTGTTGATCGTTTTTTTTTGTTCCCTGGTGAAACGAGAAGATTAAAAAGACCCCACAAACGTGGTATTGATAAGTCATTCATATACAAAGATAGGTAGACACAGACGAGGATTCATGACTGCTATCTAGTATACCTTTAATTCCAAAATCTTTTGAAAGTTATTGACATTCCTATCCTTAATCAGTAAAATATAATTGTTTACTATTGCTTCGGGATCGTCGTGCGAGAGAACGACCTTTAGGATGGATTCTATTTTTGTTATTCCCCTATTTACTAGCTTCACAAACCTAGAAGATAAAAGTTTGGTAAATAAAACGGCTCGCATAAGATAAGCACTTCAGACAAAATGATTTAACTCACGTAGTTGGTTGTTGTGTAATGCTGTCTGAATTCATCATTGGCAATGTCAAGAGAGTTGTCTTTAAAGATTGGATATCAAGAAGCATCTATCGTTTACGTAATATATAAGAACAAGAAATGGAAGTGTGTTGCGTTACAGCAAAGATCACGACTGATACCTGTTCGGCGCCATATGTTGATATGGGTTTACACTTTGCTAGATTATTAATTATTTGATAGAAGAACGAACTAAAATAAGCGGATTAAGGGTGAGTAAATATGGGCTAGTTCCTTTTAACTTAAACATCTTTCCAAATACTTACTCAACGAATTTGTCACAAAAACTTCTGAAATATCTTGGACTTGTGATATTTTCATTAATTAAAACCATGTATTGATTCAATATAGTCTGAAGCTGGGATATGTATTCGGATTGATCGCCCACAGAATCAAGAGTACCCCAAGGAATACGGGACATTGAAGAGAGAGCTGGTTCACAACTTAGTTCAACTCCTTTGACAAGAATTTTCAGTGCCGTCGAGATTACCCTGAAATTGTGAAATAAGGGATGATTAAGTGTGTGTACGAGATCACTGTAAATAGAAGAGAGACTTACGTTAAAAAAGATTCGCGTTCAACTTCAAGACTGACTTTACTTTTATATCCTTCGTAAATTTTCTCGATTAATTTCTCTTCCAACTGAATGCGCAATCTTTGTAAGTCTTTTTTTTTTTTAAAGAAAGTTTAATGTTACAACAGCTCTTAATACATGCCTGCAAAGTCGTATTATAACAATAATCTGCCGTGTTAATAATCATGCAAATAGACTTTAACTCATTCCAAGTCATCACTCTTCTCTCATCCCTAGAATTTTACATAGTAACAAGTATTTTAACAACATTCGCATGAACCATCATGTGTACCTCAGTTTTCCATCTCATCATAAAAACAAATAAACAAACTTTGGCAATCGTCCAATTAAGACATCATTTGCGTAAACCTTCAGCCATTTCCCAAATATCAGGCATAAATCATAAAACGGTTTTCTAGTTGATAATTTTGCGCAGTTTGCAAGCGTTTCACGGTAATAATAAAATAAATCCTTGCTTGAGGGAAGAACAGAGTTTGTAGAATCGTCTCCCGGAATGAATTCGGTAAGGTAAGATGTTATCATATCCGACAGCAATCTTTGAGGATAAGTCGTGAAGGAGGGTTAAAAAAGTAAACGTGGAACATTATTAGTTGGACGCAAAATGTAACGTTCTTATGGACAGAGAAATATAATCGACCGTACTTGTCCTCCGCTTTTATATATATTGTAAGATGTGGTTCAAAAGAACAGGAAATACTCCTTTCGAATTTAAACCGACCGGGTTCATCTGATTCTGCGTCATTCTACAGCGTGAGTTATCACATTTGTTTGTTAATAAACAAATTATTGCATGCTAGCCTTTAATCAACAAAAAAACGTTAGCGTAATTACCATTGAGCTAAATCTCTTTTCAATCTGCGCTTCAAACTCTATGGTCAATTGCAGATTTTTCAACAAAGTCTTTACATCCAAGTCAACAGTTTTCTCAAGAACTTTGGTAAAATCTTCTCTGTGATAAAAATGTTAAAATATTAGTCAAAGGTAATGGCATAGAACATATTTGCTTATGAGAACAGACCCTTTAATATTACCGTGTAATTTCACAGAATTTAGAACATAATTCTTCACTCAAACGCCAACGAACCGGAAATATGGAAGCATGTTCTTCGTCGTAACTCTTGAGAGCTCGTTTCAACCATGCATACCGACGAGGTGTATTCTCAAGAGAGGCAATCTACGAGAATATAATCCCAGTCAGTACCGAATCTTACTTCAATCAATATATTCTGTAGAATAACGATTTGTAAATAGACCTCGTCATTTCCTCGGAATAAACGCTTGTATTCGCGTAACTGCTGCTCGCAGTACCAATTTATAAGTTGAGTTCTAAAGTAATACGACAATTTTCCAAGATAATTAACTGTCTTACACGATGTTTGTTGTATTATCGATGACCATTCCTTAATCATACCTGACGTTTGCACCCATAATATCGATCACTAAACATCCATCCGACAACGGTGCTGTTTGGACAGTCAGGCTTCCATCGGACGCAAAACTGTTATTAAATAAATAAAGGTATATAAGTGATATAACAGACAGTACAAATTAATTTGCAAGTTCAAGGAAACTTCACCTTGATTCAAAGTCAAGAAATATTTGTTTCCTCAGACCATCCTGGAAGGCGTTAACTGAATTGATCAAGTCAGCTATCTGGTGAATGCTTTTATAGCTCTTAAAAAACGTGATAAGTTGCAAAACTGCCTAGTGGGAAAGAATTGTGTTTTTCAAATTAGTTAACCACATTGATATTAAACGAATACTGATGCAAGCATACCTGCAGCAATTGCGCAGTCTCCCTGTACTGCTTCATCTCTGCCATTATTCTCAGTTGACCCACTGCTGTGACTATGCATACATGAAAAATGTTTCATTATTAAGTATAGATGATGACAATATTTGACGATTCGCTTAATTACCTAGCATTTGCAAACGTTTTAAGGCAGTAATAGAAATAGTCAAATGTCTCTTAGCGTAATCAAGAGATTTAATGTCTTGCGTTATCTCTTGCACCATAATCTCAGACTGAGAAGCTTTCTCCTTGATTTGCTTGATTCGCTCAAATAATTCCTACACTTACAGAATTCAATGAACAGGTCGATATAGAGTGGAAAGTTCTAACTCATGCAATATTCCATGAAATTGGCTAACCAATCTCATAGCGCTTGTCTAACCTCGATAGCTTTTTTTGCTTGAATGACCTCCTCAACCCCTTGTTCGCCAACGCTTATTTGCATTCTCGTTAGCTCTCTTATTTCATTCTCTAGTAAACGCATTTGCTGTTGGAGTTTCTGTGACGCAACGTCAATCAATGACAACGATTGTTCTTTATTGAAGTAAGAATAACAAACATGAATATGATTGTGTTATGATTAACTTGTCTCCTCTATAAAAATAACTGCCGTACCATTTGGTAATAACAAGTTTATGTATTTGATAGGATTGAAATCAGCACTATCCAGAGGATCACTAGTCTTCAGGATTCTTATTACAGCAGCCTCAAGATCCGCCGGAAGCTTGATATGATTTGTTTGATCCTCATCAGGATCAATCGAGCCTCGGGTAGATGTTGGACTCTCAGCTGCAGCGTCTGGCATCGTCATAACTTGGGAAGAATCTATCCTATTGCTTTTTATAGAGATACTTGCATTATGTGTAACATTCCATCCAAACTGCCAGTCCGGAGAAATCTGTACTTCACATCGGAGTTGCGTCTTAATCAACTATGAAGATCTCCGCTTATTCTTTAACTGATAAAGAACCAATCGATACATGTGCATGCAATGCTAAGCCCTCGTGCAAGTGGCGTGAGAATCAAACCCAATAAATCCTTCCCCTTCTACGCAACTCCGAGGGGGGGAGAAACTTAGCTGGGTTTTTGTTCACACCAGACTTTGGTGTAACGATGTGTGTAGAATTTATAAATACCGAATGATGTGAGTCATACCCATTCAATTAATTTCCAAATTTTAAGATTATAAATTTCGTGTGAAGTTATGGGTAAAAATACGCCCAAGAATAACTCCCCAATCATAATACCAATCGCTCCCATCGAGGACGAACCATTATCCAGTATGGTTGAGAATGCCAAAGTAGTTGCAACTGATACCTCGCCTCCGCTACCAGCATTAATGACCCAAAACGATAACCGGGATATCATATTGCAATCAACAGGAAACGGAAATGGAGATTCCGAGGAGAGGAATTTGACGTATGTATATGAATTTGTGGTCAAAAGATAAATAGTGACTAAATTATGTGAATTATGTTAGATTGCATCATCCGGGACACTTCCGCGAAGATCCAGTTGGATTTATGATGGCGATGGGCGCATTTTATCAAGGAACCGTAAGTATGTCCATTACGATTTATTTCCATTGATGTTTCTGGCTAAGTTTAAATAATTTCCGTTTAAAGGGATGGAGAAGTTACAAAAATTATATTGGTGCGCGGATTCTATACGAAGGCTACACGGAAGAAACTAAAGAACGAGTGTTAAATAGCGAAAGAGGTTTTTGTTATTTCTCTTTGTCGTTTGTGGTGATATTTTTACAATGCTTTATAGAAGAAGAGAAACAATTGATTCTGGTTTTTTAGTTCGTTACATGATTGCTTATCTTGCTGAAAAACAGGCCAATATACTAGCTGCTACGTCACCAAATGTCGATTTAAAGATTATTGGAAAAAAGAAGAAACATTTTGAGAAGGAGTTGGAGGCTGTCGCTAATCAGATGGTCGAGAAGCTCGTCGCCGATTTGAGTAGTTTGAGATTCGTAAGGTTTGTGAAATTTCAGAATCTGTGAGGAAATCTATCATCTGAAGGTTTGCTAATTATTGGAAGATTTCATTCAGGTTGTTTGGATTTTTCGTAAACAACATTCTAGTGAGAATGTACCATCAAGGCGTTCACATATCGGAACGAGAGTTTTTGGAGGCAAGTCGGCACTATCGTCTCGAATTTTATTATCATTATTCTACACTACATCTCAGACGCAATCTAACTCGATCCGATTTGTTTTTCTTCATAGCTCCGTCGAATAGCTATTATAGCTGCCCAGAATAACCACTCTCTTATAATACTCCCCTGCCATAAATCCCACATCGACTACCTCGTTGTCTCTTACATATTTTTTCGTCTTGGCTTAGCTCTCCCTCACATTGTCGCAGGCGATAACCTTAACTTACCCATTGTTGGTCGCATTCTCAAAGGTGGTGGAGCATTCTTCATTCGCCGATCTTGGGGTGAAGACTTGCTTTATGGTTCTGTTGTTAGAGAATATGTCGAAGGACTTTTAGAACGGGGACATAATCTTGAGTGTTTTATCGAGGGGACGCGAAGTCGAACGGGAAAACTATTGCCACCAAAATTAGGGGTCTTGAAAATAATGTTAGATTGTGTATTATCCGGAAGGGCAAAGGACTGCTGGCTTGTACCTATGTCGATCCAGTATGATAAAGTTATTGAGACAGAGACATATGTTAATGAACTGCTGGGGAATCCGAAAGAAAAAGAAAGTCTATGGGGGATAATGACGAACACAAGGCTGTTGCAGCTCAAGTGGGGAAGGATCGTTGGTGCGTGTTGGTTTTCTTGTTTGAGGGATTTGGACATTGGTTGTAGATTTTGTTATGTGAGATCCGACCCATGGCTTCCACTAGTTAGCTTTGGAGCCAGGATATTGCGGTCACGTTGTGCTTGTGCTTGATCTTCATTCAACTAAACGCGGGTTGGAATCTCACATACAGCATGGATATGCATTAATTGCTGATCGCATCCACAAACTTTCAAATATAGTGCGATTTTCAAAGCCTTATTCGTTATCACAATTTATTCAGGCTCAAGTAGGGCGGAGAAGGTGAGGGCACGTTATTGGGAAATTCGAGTCATCCCAATGGTTTTTTGGATAACAAATTGTTTTTCTGCTGATTAGGACGTTTGATCCGACTAATGAACAAAACAAAGTTACATTATTGCGAGCATTAGGATACAGGTGAGTTACTGTTCTTCGTTATTAATACGTTGATCGACCCGTGTTGACTCTCTTTTTTCCTGTTTGAACAGAATCTTGTCAGATATTGTAAGTTTAGACTTTGTGGCTGTTCTATGACATGATTTTGAGTGATAATGATCCGTAAACTAAGGCGTTTTTCTACATGAAAAAAAAAAAAAAAAAAAGAATTCGGCATCAGTTGTAATGCCAACAGCGTTAGGTATACAAGAACGCATACTCCAGTTTCCTTAGGTTCGAATAAAGGATACTTACACTTGTCTTTTTCTTTTTCAGTTGGCACCATAATTCTCACTTTGCGTGGTCGGGTACTATATAATTATATATATATAGATCTCTTTTTCATTTCCTTTACATTGGCTAACTTGAAAACGCGTTAATTAGGGTGTTGGTCGAGCTGAATTAATTCGACGCGTGGATTGGCTGAAGGCCGCCATAGTAGTGAAAGGAGGGCGTGTCGCTGATTTTGGTGATATGACAACGGGAGAGATAGTTGACCGGTAGGTAATAGAGAGGGGGGAGACTGATAAATAAGAGTAATGGTATGGATAACTGACGATTTAATATTATTCAAGCGCAATGAATGTATTAAAGGATTTGATAAAGGAGAGAAAAGACTTGCTGGAGACTGTTTTTTGTGCAGAGAATCGTTTCGAGTTAAGTTTCTATCGTAACCAGGTTTATATTAATTAAATTTATTTAAACGTCAATGCCGAGTTATGTATAATGCTCTATATGCTAATGATTATCTGTTGTAGGTTATCCACTTGTTTGTCTCCGAAGGTGATTATAATATCGATTATTGCCTTGTTTAATATGCTCGGTGTTTATTGATATAAACTTTACGTCCAAAGCTATCGTTTCTGCGGCCATGTACACAAAAATCAAAATCGGTGGATCAAAATCGACACAAAGATTCGACTTTCATAAGTTGCTAGAAACCGTGACATTTTTGTCCCAGTTACTCAAAGTAGAATTTGTCTATCGACCGGGAGAGATCGAAAACAACTTGTATGATACTCTGGAAGGGCTTGTGGTTAGTGCAGTGAAAGAAAAAAATATATATTGTTTTCATGCCAATGACTAAAGTCTGTTCAATCGTATAGAAAGATAATGTTTTCGTGTTCGAAGATGGTACCGTAGAATTATCGGATGCAGAGAGGGCTATTGGTAGAGAAAACTATGGTTAGTATATCACAGTGTTGGGACACGACGTATGATACGATGCTCTAATAACGTTAACTGTTTACTTCCAAGACTTTTACTGTTTCCTAATATGGCCATTCATCGAGACCTACTGGCTAGCTGGTAAGGACATATATATACCCAATACGATTGATGATTTCAGTAACAATCAGATTATGATCTAAAACTGTTAATACAAATATTTGTTCCAGCTGTGAGTCTCTTCTCAATGGCACCGCCCATGTCTGCCTCACTCCAACAAAAGACTACGATATCCAAGAAGAATCCAGCTCCTATCACCTGGTTCGATGAACGTGACTTTCATAACAAGTGTCAGCTATTTGGCAAAACCCTTTATTACCAAGGCGATCTTTCGTACTTTGAGGCAGTAAACAAAGAAACGCTCAAAAACGCGTTTATCCGATTAGAGGAGTTGAACATCATACTGGTGAAACGTAGTCGGAATACCAAAATACTGCCGACCATTGCATTGAGTCCGGAGTACGTTCCGACACGGAATGCTCAGGGAGCAATAGAACCAAAGGGAAAATTATGGGATTTAGTCGAGCAAATTGGCAAGTTCAGACGGGAGGGCAAGAATAGGAGAGATAATGCAACTGTGAGTTTTCGAGTCTTACGATTGGCGGAAATTGTTGGACAGCCGTCTACTGCAGATGTGGGAGTTATGAATAATTTAATGGGTCGATCAGTCAAGACTGCACAGCCAGAGGCTAAATTGTGAACAAAGAGGAATTAAGAATGGTATCAATTAGTAGTTGGAGAGTGACAAGTTTAGTTTAGTAGTAGTGGTGATAGTGGTGATTACAAAAAAAAAAACTATTTATTTATACCTTACGCGAGGTTCTACTACTATATAGAATGAATTTTCCGTTGCCTAATGTACTCATTATTAATAGATAAAAGTAGTTTTTTTAACATGTTTCACAAGTCTAACAAAACCATTCTGGATGTAGTGTTTGAACTATTTGTGTCTAGAAATCTAAAAATCTATATAGTCTACTTATAAATAAACGAAGGTACAGAAATAATGCAAGATCAAAGTTCCATTCTGTTATCTGCTTAAAAGGGAGAAGATACGCTGGCTCCTCGTATCGTGAAGGAGGTGCTAGTAGACTACTGTTAGCAAGAAAGGGTTATAAGTTGACAATTGCAGATTTCTAAACCTAATTCGATCATGGTATTTTTTTTTATTCAAAAGCAGATGCTTGGATTTCAACCAGTTTAAGGCCAATCGTAGCGATCTTATGGAATGGGCAATTTCAGAACATTATCTATTTCAACAAACCAAAGGTCACCTCATTAGCAGCCATACGCATAGAATATATCACATACTCTAATGCACAATCTCTTCATCTTCACTATTGGTTTACCTCTATTATGAACGGCATATATAAATGTAGCTATTACTTCATTTTCAATGGGCTTCACGGCAGCATAATGTTTACTCACTGCCTGAACGAGTTGCTCTTTCGTAGCTGGTTCAGTTACCTTTAGACGGTGTATTCTTTTATATCGACGCAATACTGAGATATCAAGAGTATTAAAGTCGAGCTGCGGAGCGAAAGCCAAATAATTGGTAAATAGCATATCAACAGTCCTTTATACTACACATTTCGACCCTAATCCCTTACATACCGACAACATACTCACCGGTGCTATCTCTCTTGTAACGTCTTTTCCCTTTCCGAACCTTTTCATAGAGCTCGATGCGCCAGCACTCGAGCTTGAGGATAATTCTCTGTTGTGGCTTCCACTGCCGTCATTGTTGTATGACCTTGAAAACGACATGCTACTTTGTTGTTTTTGAGATCAGTTTGAAAGAAAGAATTGTTTTAAAGTTCACGGACCTGATGGATTTCAGGGTTGAAAAAATTGCCAAACACACATCAGTGTCGCGCAGTCACTCGTTTTATTTTTATTTGTTCAATAATCCTAATAAGATAACGCGGACTTTCAAGCGTAGATTAGACCCGTGCGAGTAGATTATTATTTAGCTTATGCGTTTTATAGGTCCCCATTTTCTTAATAAGCTTTATAATATTCTTTAATGTTAGTAGCATTCAACTCTCGAAAAGGAAATTATGTAGATCCGCAGTTAGTATAAACAACAGGGCAAGCGCTTTACATCATGACAGGGCGTTTAGTAAATCATTGTTATGGAATGAAGATTACAACTTTGAACTCTAATTCAGTAGACTATTGAAGTGATCCCACAAGAAGATTCAATAACAAGATTACACAGCCAATGCGATATAGGAAACTGCTGTAGGTGCGCAATGAAGATTCTTGCAAGAAATAATTATACATACTATTCTCAATCCAAATATGCTACTTATAACTTGTTATGCAGGGCTATAATATTCAATAAACAACGTTGTAGAGAGGTTGTTGAAAGAAGGGGTGAACGAATATCATATTAATTCATAGTAATAAAATCTGCTGCTTTCAAACTTTAAAATGACATATTAATATTATACATATCTATTAGTTTGCTCGTTGTAAAGCCAGGGCAGTTTAAACAATTGTCATTTTTTTGCCCACCACTGTATAGGCGGAAGACAACTTGAATAAATTGTTGTTACTTCATCCACTTGTGCAGAGCATTTCAACCATATTTATATAATAACATACAAACCATGACTTTGTAATGACAGATAAGTCGATTGTGACGTGAATATTACCCAGTCATCTTCGTTATCTAAATCATCAAACTTGCTACAATGTTGACAATGCTCTATTTTCTAGACCTTCAATATTATGTTAAACGAAGACCACAAAACTTTATGACATTTGATCTCGTGTATTTTAATAAAGTAACAACCCATTACGATTGAAAGTCTAACATAATCGGACAATGATAAAAACAATTTCAAGAACGACAAATATCGACATGCAATCTGACCGTTGTGCGAAGACACAAGTTTGTATAATATAATTATTATTTTAAGGTGGCAATTTGTCATCACGTATTACTATACATCTGCTGGTTGGGTGTTTCAATTTCGTTCCAAGGTCTTTTTGTCTTTACTCTGCATTCACTTTCTAATGTCTTGAAATCATGCCAACATGATAATTCTTACCCATTATGCTTGGAAATAATAAAACACAAAGAGTACTCACTTCCACTAGATTCTCAGTTGCTGTCTTCAAAATTGCAAGCTTTGCAATATCGACATTTCTAGTGATTTCCCGATTATCGTGTCTCTAAAAAAAAGGGTAATTGCGAAACAAAATAAATAAGAGTTATAATTACATAAAATTTCCCACTTTCAGTCAATTTCACTAAAAAAAATCAAGAACTTTTTTTCTTCTTCAGCGTTCTTGGATAATCTAATACTAACAGCTTTTGACTTCGCACAAGCATATGACAGAGGAACTGCTAATCTTCTCAAAGGCTCGTTTAAATGCATCAAGGATATTATTTTGCTATCGGACGAGAATAGTACACAGCCTTCCATATAGCGAAGACAGTTTATAAGGGACCAGTCTCGAAGAATTGTGTCGTTAAGAAAGTCACCAACAATTTTTTCAAAATCCAATCTATCGTTGTTTAAGAGAAAGTAATGAGCGGTTGCTCGTATGAACGAAGATAAAAACTACTATATTCAATAATAATAGTAGCGCTCTCAACAAGCTAGTATACTGGCTCCAGGCGTAGGCACTAAGAGCCGCATTGAGCGAGTCATAGTGATTATCCCGCTATCCTCAGATCCAAACATCAAAACGTAGGGAAACCCCATACGAGCGTAGGATACCGTAGCACGCTATCTTCTCTATCAAGGCCATGCGAAAAATCACTTAGCTGAGTGCTCCGTGAAGCTGCGATTACGCGTCACTCCATAATGAGCGCGTATTGTAAAATGATCGGCGGAAAAAAACTACCATCGTATTTCGCTATCAGATAATGAATGCTTAATAACTGTGGTAGATTAAAACGAAATCGGATTAAAACAAAATTTGGGTCTTCTTGGATTCTCTTTTAATGCCTCTGAAACCCACATATTAGTATACTCTTCTATTAACAAAATTACCCTAAAAAAAGCGCCCCCAAAAAATTTTAAATTTTCATATTAAATAGAGAAATTCATTTTAATCCGATTTCGTTAAAGCGCCTTTGAAAACTGAGAAATGGCTTGACTTGGCATTAAGTACTGGAAAGTTTTTCGCTGATACATGCGAATCTTTACGTAGAAGAGATATCAAAAGTACCAACTGAGCTTTTAACGATTGACTAAGTTTTCAAAAAGAGATTCCAACCTTTTTTCTTGGGATGTATCAGGCAAATTATTAGAGACCACGTCATCTTTGTTCTCATTTTTTTCTTGTCACAAGAGGAACCTTCTTTTTTCGACCATTCTTTTTTGGAATCTTTATAGTCGGAGTGGACGTAGATGGTACCTCTGGTATCGATTCAAGATTCTGTTCTGACTTATCAGTCTGGGGATTTTCATCCAAAACAGACTGAGGTGAAATGACCTTGTTGGAGGCGTTCTTTATTATCCCATATTTCATAAACACGCTTAGGTCCGATATGAAGTTTATTAGCCATTTTTTCTCTGATTTTCTTGATATCGGCTTCTGTTAACAGGGTTGCCTTAGCATCATAAAATGTATCATGGAGACGGGCTACCATCTTCACTAGATTTTTATACTAGAAAAAATATATTAATGCTCTTCAATAAATATCAATGTGTATTAATGCGTACGTATCAATACTCTTCAATATGCATTAATATTTTTTCAGTGTGTATTGATACTCTTAAATGTGTGTCAATGCCCACCAAGGCATATCAATATGGTAATATCCATGGAAAAAAAATTTTTTGCTTTCAATGCCAGAAAAAATTTTTGTAATTTTAGCGGTGTCTAGCTAAAAAAAATTTTCTGCCTAAAGTAAAAAAAAAAAATAAAAAATAAAAATACCCAGATCCATACCTTAAGGATCTGGATAATGGTAATAAACTTGGAGATACTCCAGCTAATTATTATCCCCCTAGCTGAACAGAGCTTGAAGAGCAACTTGCGCAAAAAAAGATCGTGAAGTTGCTATATATTAATATTGGGGAAATCAGTTTGCAGATAAATATTAATATAATGTCTTAGATAGAGAAAATAAGCATATGCAGGATTCCTAAATCAATCAAAAAAAAAAAAAAAAAGAAATAAGCGCATACAAGATGACTTAATAAATCCAAAAAAGAAAATGAGAAACTTTCCAATCGGGTGCATCAACTTGGAGAAGAGATAACACGCTTACAATCAGAAATAAACGATCCTAAGCTTAGGGACGAGATAAGACAATTGCGTTCAGAGATAAATGACCTTAAGCTTCAGATTACTCGCAAGGATATTAAAATATTTTACAGAAGATAATCGAGTTAATTTTTTTTAGGCAAATATATTGCCTGATGGCACCAGACTTAAAAAAGCATCTCCTCTGAATTTCACACCGTCAGACGAAAGTGAAGACAAGTGAAGACGATAAAGATGACAAAGATGACAATCTTTCTGCGTACTGCAAGTAGGACGAACATTTCTAAACATAGTATGACAAACAGTACTGCAGCACTGGTGCGTCACTAGTGAGTCACAACACAGAAATAACAACTAAACGTATACTGAAGAATAGTTAAATTAGCTGCTAAAAATAGATCAATTAGTCTGATCGAAAGATATATAAGCAGCTAGAATTTCAGCTAGAGTCGGTGTAGATTCCTTAGATTCCTTATAATTCATATCTTATTGTTAATAAACGAGTATCGCATTTACTCTGAACCGATATTATTGACCCTATTCTCTAAATTAGTTGATATATCTGAGAAACCGTCAAATCCGTATATCAACGAAGGATAATTGCCTCTATGTCCCAATTATCGAGTGGCGAATTAGGATATTTATTTAATCGTTAGTTTAGGAACGCGTTCATTCTTAGTGAAAAACCATTGTACCCCAGACGGGAGAAATCCCCCGGTAATAACCGACGAACATACTCGAGCACGATTAACATATCTAAGATTAACGGTGAAAAAGCCCGTAAGTGAAAAGCCTTGAATTAACGAGGTCACCCGACATTTAACTAGAAGGAGGAGACGCCACGCTCCGTCGATACTAGCTAAATCCCAAGTGTCGATTACTATCTGCTCTCCCGCAGTAGTCGGCACGGCAATGACAAAGATGACAAGGAAGGTATCCTCCTCCAGAAAGAACTCTCACCTCTGCCTTGACAGCCCGAAAATTTGGATATCGCCTACTGGTCAGAATATTGGCGACATCTATGCAAAAAAGATATCCGAAAATGCAATTGCGGTCAAGAATAAGAAAAAAATTAACTGCTGTTGAAAAAGCTACATTATAATATGGTGCATCTAGGATAATTAATTTATCCGCACATATGAAAAAGTGGAAGATAGAAAGTTTATGATAAATAATCACGAGTCTGTAATACGAGTTTCTGAACTGACCATGAAGAAAGCTCATTTATCACAATGGTGAGTGCATTGTTTTGAATTTAGCTCATACATATGCATATTGATTAATTAATCATTCTTTTACAGGTGGTAAATGAAACAAAGCATACAAATTTTGTATTAAAAAAGATTCCGATAAGAGCAGTTACTTACGTGGGAGCTGACGTTGCATCAGTTTAACTAAAATGGGAATAATCACCAAATGCAGTGTAACAAACGAAAAAAAAAGTGTGATAAAAAATTTTTTTGTAAACTACAGAACGAGTGAAACTTTCCCCCATCTGCCATACAGTCCAGACTGTGTTCCTTGTGATTTTTTTCTTATTCCCTCGAATCGAAAAAGAACTGAAGGGAAAAAGATTTGTTAAGGACGAAAATTTGACAAGGGCTGCTCAGGCAGTTGCCGAAACCATCCCAAAAACCGACTATAAGAAGTCTTTCCAGAGTTGGTAGATGTTAACGGAGAGTACTTTGAGGGAATGAAATAGTTGTATCGATAATTATTATGAAATTTCTGGAAATAAAGGTACACGCGCAAAACTTTTCAGCACACAAAATCAGTAAAATATATTCCGAATTGTCAGTGACTTATTTTAGCGATTCTTTACTTGTATCTATAGAAGCGATGGCATCTGCATTGTATCATTGTGCAAGCAGTACGCTGAGGTCAAGAGCGACGACGATGGTCGAGAAATATATAGCAGCAGCGCGTGCACATGCTGTGCAGCAATTTATAGAAAGATTCGGGAGCTATGATGACCAACTTCGGGATATGAGCTTTGATCCTGAAAAGCCAATAAAGTGGAAGTCATTGATAAAAAAGGAAAGCACGGTTTTCGGAGGTCTCGCGGGTGCTGACCCTCTGCGGCATCAACTTACCAGCGGACTTGTTGTCGATAGCGCGCTGGTACGAGTTACAGGGGGCTGCTAAAGATGCCGTGACATACATGGATGACTCGGCTAAGGGGGCAGATAGTCTAGAAGCAACCGATATCACAAGCACCAGTCGACGACCAGTTTATTTATTTATTTATTTATTTATTTATTTATTTATTTATTTGCAAAACCATTGATCCTTAGAACTTGTTCTGTCTCTTCCAATCTACCCTCCTTATCAATGTCTTCGATGATACGTAGCCATTATTCTTACACCAGCCTATTTGAACAATTAAGTGTCGGTGGATAGTGGAGAAGGAGAAAAGAGCATAAGATTAGGGAGAGAATGATACGTATTAAGAATAATTATCGAGTATTGATTCATCTTCAATGGTTTTGCATAATATTATTATTATTATAAAAATTATAATTTATCTGTATTAGTATTAGTAAAATAATTACCAACAAAATTCCGCGCTTCTGGGGGAATCGTCTCCTTATTTGAGTTAGCCACCTGTTGGCACCAACCCAGTAATTCTTGACCTCGTCGGAAGTCTTATCAGCCTACATGAGAAATTTCTTTATGAATATTCAAAGCGTCTTACATAGTTAAAAGCCATAAATATATTGTTTATAGTATAGCATGTATAACCATAATAATAAATGCCAATCACATTACTAATTATCTCAAACGCCTTAAGAAGTTTGTCTTGCAATTGGATGTCATAAACATGAGCAACAATATTGTCCTTATATATCCTGTATTCTTCTTGCCAATAACGCTTCTGGAGATCCCGCTTCTTTCGTTTAAGGAACTTTATTAACGTCCACGTATGAGGTGGTTGTCTAAAGTATGCTCCATCGTCAGCAGTAGAAGATGTACTCATGTCGTCGTATTGTCGTCTCTTTTTGGGAGTTACGAATAGATTACTAGACCTCCTTTTGCTTGAACCCTTTTTTGGTGGTGGTGGTGGTGGTGTTAGCATTGAGGGGAGATATTATGTGTTTACGATTTGGATTTTCAAATGAGCAAAATATTGCAATGGTTAAAGAGTTTGGGGGATAATGTCTTTAGATATGTTTATGGTTGTCGGTATTGAATGGCGGAACCGAAAACACGCATAAAACATGCAATCTTATATGGAGCCTACGCGCATGAAACATGCAAACACAGACTATATGATGGATCGCGGTCACAAATCGCTAATTGGTCACATTTGCTGCACACGTATCCTAATAGTCGAATTTTTTTGATACGTTCCGTTGTCTTTGTAAATCTATTAGAGGGTTAAACAAAATTGATAGTAATTCTATTATTTTACATTAATTCCGATTATAACATCGCAAAATCCATTCTAAATTTTCTATTGATTAAAATTATTACGATAATAAAACAACCATCCCCACAGAAATCAAAATGCCTTCGCGTTTTGAAATCACGTGCGCGTGACAATTATCACCTGTCAAATAAATTTTGCCTCTGGTATGAGCGCTATTACTGTATATGCAAAATCGGCGTATAATCATTCATTTATATGCACATACACGCACACTGGTTAAAAATCAGTACTGTAGTTGTTAAAGTATGGTTGCATTTTTTCGACCCGGGATACGTCCATTCGGTTGACTCGAAGTATTGTTGGGCTGTAAAATGATAATAATAAGACCACGTCAAGTCAAAACGAAAAATTAAGTGATTGACATACCAGCATGCTTGTATGATGAATCTAATGACATTGAAATACAAGACGCTTTGAAAAACGCGTTGAGTTATACGTGATGAAACTATGTTGTTATAATGCATAGGCCACGAGACAATTTATATGGTGTGCATATATAACAATCAGAGAGTCGTACGATTAACCATCAAGCAGGGCACATGTTATTGACAGGGGTTTAGACCCATATCTTAGAGGAGACCTACAGGTAAAGACCAACTTAGTGATACAATATAGAAATTCAAAAGAAGATATCTAACATGCGCACCCGAGAAGAACAGATTACAAGGATGTGCCAAAATTGTTAGACGCTTCTTAATACGATAGTTCTAGGACACGGTAGCTGCTTTGGAACAATTGTCATCGCGGCGAATATCGTACGATCAGGGGGCAAGGAAATGATTTATCAAGATATCAGGCAACATTTCCAAGAGAAGGCGATAAATTACAGCATTTAAATGACTCCTACTTCATTACTGGCGGGGACTGCTTATTCATCAGGTAAATGAGATCAGATAACAGCAGTTTCTTTAAAGCTAAAATTATCAATTGCCCGAGTAAACAGCTAAACTTCTTTCCAACGTCTTTGCTATCCAATTTATTGTTTGACTCTACAGCCTGATGTGCCATAAGCACAGCACAGGACTACAAGCCATAAGAGCTATACGAGGGTTTTGCAGCCAATGACTGACCTCAATCTACGATTTTAACTGGAAATAGACAAGTGAGAATATTATTCTCGAGTAATTTACTAATCGTAACTACTGTATAGTGATATTGGTTCTCTCAATCGATTAGATTTTAACTTTACCATATCCATTCTATCTGTATAATGAACTTTTCACTCTAATAATGGTTTAGAACTTGTCTTGTTTTTCCAATTATATTGAACACCTTACTGTACCAAACTATAGTCATAAGTACTGTATGTATCACATACTATTGTTCTAATAGTAATAATATTTATTTAATTGACTGTCGTAATTACGCTTATGGCGAGATTTGCTGTTTGGATTTAGAGATAACAATTCTCACCTTGCGTATCTCTGATCAGATTGAATTGTAAATTGGTAGTTGTAACGAACGCGTGGTGGCTATTCTGCATCATCGCATAAACGCCTTTGGATAGTTCTTATGCAAGAAATTAACGAGCTAAGTGTCATGAATTGCTCATGACATCATAGTCTTGAAATTCCGTCTGCAGCTTTTGTCATACATTATAATTAGTCATTAACCATTATCTGCACAACCCGTTACCAATAAAAGTTGCAGCTGGTCAAGCTTGTAGATAGCTCCTCTTTCAGGGCTTGATGGCTTAGATGCTATTTATCTCATAAAAGATAAAATGCAAAGCACTCAAAAAATTTAATTTCAACAATGTCAACTTGTCCAAGGAGCAAGCAGAGGAATAGGACAAGCATTAGGTCGCACTCCTCTTACGCACGCCCTACGATGTAATAGCAACATTTCGCGACCCTGAAACTAGTCAAAGTCAAATTACGTCCACACTCGATTCGTCACTCCTTCGCCGTCTATTCGTTTATAAACTGGACGTGACTAGAGAAAGCACTATCGTCAATTGTTCTGAACAAGTGAAAAAGAACCACGGAGAAAAGCCATTAAGATTGTTGATAAATTCTGCTGGAATATTACATGTGGAAGAATCGCTGGATCAAATCAACGTTTCAAACTAATGCTACTGGTAGTTTGGAGGCACACCGCGAGGAGTTGGAGATTCAATGGATTTATTGCCGAATTCGCAATTGTTGCCAATTGACACGATCACATCGCAATATCTGTTGCACTCTATCCTGGCATAGTTGATACTGATCTATCGAGACAATATCTCAAGAAGAAACACGCGATAATGTATTTATACCAGATCAAAGTGCAGGAAGTAAACATTTGAAGCTAGATATCTACTCACATGGGATGGAAAGAAGACAACTTTTTAATGAAAATATAAAGAGACATTAATTATCATAACCTCTAAAACTATTTCGAAGTTGCAAGAATGAGAAATTCTCCAAGACGGATTTATTAATCAACTCTGGATCTGGTTGTTTCGTATGCAATAGACTTGAAATCATATGATGGTGTTTGTCTAGTACGATCGGCTATTCGGCAGCACACTATTCATCACCTCGGCAAACTTTTCTAAAGAGCTTTCTTTGTTTAAATTCTTTATTTAAACATGGTTACACTACCGCGTGTGTCTGGCAATATCGTTAATATGTTATCTAAATAGTAAAGAACGACAGATCATATTTTTCACATTTGCTGGCTGTACTTACGAAAAAGTCACTATTTTTAGCGAAAAACAAAAACGGAATATTGCTGCCCATTAAAAATTATTTTCATTCTCACGCATAACTATAATAACTTTCTATCCCATCCGAAGAAGTAGATTTAGGAGATAAAGTCCAATTCACAGTCAAAATGACGTTACAAGTCTCTACAATGTAAAACCCTGATTCATCTGTCCAGTATTGCCAATACTAACAAGACTTGCTACCCGTTTAGCATGTATTGGAGACTTTTCCAAGTAATTAGAATAGCTATCAATATTCCCTTTGATCAATTTTCGTAATTCTTTGACATCAGCTTCATAGTATCTGCAAAATGATGGGTATTAGCAGCGTATCAATAAAAACAGATGGAATAGGTTTCATATACTTACACAGTATCGGGAAACCAGCATTTGTTTCGTCTTTGTGACGGGAACATATAAAACAACTCAATTTCTGCTAAAACCTATAGGCATTAATTTAGACGTTATAAATTTGATTCCGAAAAATTATATTGAAAAAAAATGTCATTTGCAAACTCACCTCAGCTTTCTGAGCCAAGTATGATCCTCGTTCATGATAAAGATCAATAGCATTACTCAATAAACCGATGAAAAGATTCAAAAGATAAATGACCGTGAAAAAAGAGAATGATACAATGAGTAGTGCGAGCGTTGGATTGCCTTTAATATTCCAACCAGAGAATGAACTCAAATCTCCTATAAGATAGGGTAAAACATTATTTGTTATCATATTTTTTTGACGGAACGAGCATACAAATAAATAATGATCAAATTCATACCCGTGAGAACCATATAAGTACCCCAGAGAGCTGTACTAAAGTGGGAATATACGTTCGTATTGTCACCTGGTGTCTCTAAAAAGGCGGATTGAGAGTTAATGCTCCCGTCGTTGTTCACAGTGTTGAATGTCGCAGTCAGTTTCCATGGATTATTTGGGTCATTATCATTAAGACTTGGTGGTGTGTCCACTGATGCTCCTGGCTGTGGTTTCAGCAATATAAAGAATGCGTGTGCAAACCCAAGGATCATTATTCCAAGTACAATCAAGAAAGAAAATACTTGTTGTGCCACACCAATCATTATTGCAATATAGATCCCAAAATATTCAAAGGGTCTAAGCAAGACAAGTAACTTGGTCCACAGAAGCAAAGCAGCTATCGGTGACACCCATTCTGGAGCTGTAACATTGCACAACAAGTAGAACGTAGTGACCAAAGGCAAACCATATGCTCCACAGTCTTGTAATAATAAGTGTACACTTGTCAATGTTATGAATCATATAGTAACAAACTGCTTTATGACAATGACTTACCAATCCAATTCCAAAGTGATGTAATATATCTGCTTGGGCTCCATATAAACTGCCTTAGCTCAAAGTGAATATGCCAACAACCAATTACAACTGTTGTATATAAAAGACGTCTTCTATGATCATCTTGTATGAATTCTTCAGTATGACTCACTACGAATGAAAAGCAAAAAAAGTACAAAATAAAAGCAAATCCTATAAACTTGTAATACATTGAACCAAAGGTTTTCCATTTGAAATTGATTATGGCTTCGCCATCCCATGTTTGATAAAACACTGATTTGTTGTTTGATGTACCAGTAACAAAGGGACTTGAAACTGGAAAAATAGCATCCTGCCAAAAAGAATAGTTCTCGGGGTAGGTGCAGTATTTAGGTAAAGGTACTATAAACGTTAAAGTTGATCTTCTTGTTCCATGTATGAAGTATTTATGAGCGGTAAGATAGGGCTTATACAAAACGTGAGATGTAGTCTTCAGAACAGCCAAGATTCTAAAGAATTTTCGCACCCAGAAAATTCTGAACCTTGACATTTCTTTGATATCATCTTCCAGCAATTCCAATCGTAATCGTAGATTGACTGAACAAGTCAGGGCGTTCTGGCTGTGAAACTTACTAGTGAACGCATACAAGTGACTTGGGGTAATGGGTAATCGATTGACAAATTCGCAGTTTGGATCTAGTACCAACATGGATTTTGGAAATAAACTAAATACCATGTCAGAAAATAGTTCACTTATTTGTGGAAGTGACGGAGTTATAACTCCCATGTATGCAATATGTGTAATTGAGTAAGTATAAAGTTGACAAAAACAAGCCTCAAGTATATTCTCAACCATGATCCCATCGTTCAGAACGATGATACTGCACAAAATTTCCTTTCCATAAAAAACAAGATTTGTAGAATTTGTCATTCTTTTATACAGAACGTCAAAGGCTCGTTGACAGTCCGGAGATCGTGCCTCGAGTGTTTTCTGCACGTGCCACCAGATGGTCTTTGTGCTTGGTGGAGGCCAAAACACACTATCGAATTTCTGCAGAATCCTCTCGGCAACTTCATCCGCCACAAGACACACATCCATGCCGTAGCCGATATCGTCGTCCCAGAAATATCTCATGTGGATGATTTCATCTGACAAATAGAAAATGCATACTCCTCTATCACATAAAATAGCCAAATCATCATTACTCAAAATTGTACAACTCCTAGTAGACCCAAAATATTTTAGAGCGTGAACGCTGGCGGGATATTTGTCTGTTTTATTTTGATACGCACTAATCCCAGAATTAGCTGTAACATGCCAGCTTCTTTTTAATCCCTCCAGTCTTCTACCTTTTCTGTCGAGTGGTTCTAATTTCGCATCTTCATGAGCAAGTGCCCTTATCATAGTCGCGCTAGGGATAACAGTCAGAAGTGATTTTTGGATTTTTTGGAAACTTTGTTGGATAATCGGTATACTTAGAGGCTGTCCATTGTCAATTACGACCAGAACATGACCATTAAGAACGAAATTTAGCCCCGGTTTCCAGCTGCCTAAAAGAATGTGTTCACTGAGATCAATAGTTTCCAGTGGATTGCCTTTATTTTTACTTTCAACTGCCTCTGTTTGTTTTTCCGACTCATCGAAAGGATCCCATAAAATTGCCGTTCCCATATCCGTAATCATTACGAGAATACAACAATCTTCGTCTCTTATAAAATCCACAGCCACTATTTGTTCACCATTCCTTGTCGTAACATAGGTGGTGTTGAGAGGCATTTCAGTCTTGATCCAATATACAGTCAGCTTCTGAGAATTGGGCTTTCCAGTCACCAAAGCAGACAACAAGTTGGATGGATCCACAGCAAACAAGAATTTCGTTACATCGTTCATCAAATCTACATGTGTAACTGAAATATCATCACAAAAATATTGTACTTCAAGCTTAGAAGTATAAATATCCCATTGAGTCAAATGGCCATCATATTGGCATACCAACTTGTCTTTGATGATAAAGTATCTAAACCGTTCACGTGACCTATCCTTGACGTGTTTGTATTCTGTTTCGTGAGTCCAGTCGAGTAAGCTTGCGTTCCTTCGCTCCCATTTGCGATTTTTATCCTTAAAACGATAGAATCCCACATCATCCTTGTACATTGCCGCAACGACTACAAGCTCGCCAGAGGAAAGAAATGCTTCACGATAGCTAGGACGTATCCGCAAAACGTAATCCGGCAGTTTCATGAATGGCTCCTGTGTTGAGAGATTTTCGGATGGATCACACGGATAATAGACTAAGTAGTTTATATGAGAATTACCTTAGATATGCGAATATCGTTAACGAAATACCAACTCAAATTAGCATCCTTACCACTATTAAACATGAAAGATTGTTTGTCAGAAACAAGTAATTCTGGAAGAACACCTTTCTCGGTAGCTACTGTAGTCTCAAAAAGTTTAACTATACGTTCCTTTCCATCCTCAATTGACCATATAACAACGGATTCTGATTCTGCACTGTAAGTCGCAATGCAACTTCCAAGCGGAGATATGGCACATTTGATAATCGGGCATCCACTATGTGCGGTAGTATCTTTTAGCGGCGTGACCGGATCCATTGAATATAAAATGGGATCGCCTACAACCTCCTTCTTAACCTCGGGAACATCCTCTATGATTATAGTTTCATGGGCGGGAGTACTCATTCCTGGTTTTCTCGTCTCTTTTAGAGTGACGGAAAATGTGTCAACGGAATTCAATTATCGAAGAGTGTCGAAGCAACGTACACCCACTATGCATTCTCTCTCACGGGCTAAAGTATGCATTTTATAAAACTTGATCTTTAAGTATGTAGCATTCTGCAATGTGTAACCGTGATTTATTTTAAACCATGCGTGTTCAGCGAAACAACGATAAGGCAAAAAAAAGGGTCACAGAGTCACAGCAGACTTTGATAATAACGAATATTGAGTTAGGGAATTTTCTAATTGTGTATCAAAACAAATAACACAGACACAATATGACGCAAGGAGTTTGTGTGCATTCCCTACAGAAAGTAAGTAAAGCAAAAAGGCTTGGCATTAAACAATTCGTCGTTGGAAAGTCGCATTATGCGTTGATTGGATGGGTCGAGTAGAGGGTGTAACTAACGAAATATGCGGAGAAGACCGGGATGGAGGTTCGATACCTAAAAGTATCGATTGCATACGTATATGTGACGTCAACATAACTTCGTCTGGTAAGGCTACTCACAACAATGTTAGCGCGATGCCCTCAATGCAAGACACCGTACCAATAGTCAACAAGGTCAACAAGAAGCTTGTTTGTCCACTGGAATTTACGCGGGTGTCTAATTCGTTATTGTTGCAGACGATTTGAAGCCTGTAGTCGATAATATGTCGTCGGTATGGTATAATTATTTGTGGGTTAATAATTACAGTTTATAGTCATCCTCTCTATAAGCACATCCTCTCTTATAAGCTTGAGAACCGATTCTAGAAAAAACCTTTATATTTACGTAGTCACAACCTATTTTATGGAACTTTATAAGCATTGTCAATTCGTGGGCGTTTGTAACACAAAAGATTTGCATACAGGAAATCATCCAATCAGCTCGGCTTTCCGTTTGATAGTTATCGGTTTTGCATTAGTTAGACACAAAGAATTTGACGTGACGATATGGTGAGAGAAGATTATTTTATTGTCTTTTTGTTAGCCCTATAACAGTAAAGCGCTTGTCTTCTAAGTCGATATTGACTACAATAGAGTGTACAATTTTATTCACGCTTGGAAACCAAAGAAGGTTTGTTCTATTACTATCAATTGTTGCTATTAACAGATAGGAACTCTAAAAATGCCTTATTGATATAGCTCACGAGGATGCTATATACAGTGTAAAATTCTCGCCTATTGGAAACGTTTTAGTAACGGGATCTCTCGATACGCAAGTTAAGATATGGTCAGCTGACTAACCAAGAAACAGCCCTATACTGTAATTCATGTGCTCGATTATGAATCAAGTATACTAAAATATTCGATCAGGGATGCTGAGACGGGCGAACTTAAACACGAATTGGACGACCATTCATTGGGTATTTTGTCTGTCGATGTTCATCCAGATGGAGATTGTAAGGCAATTTATTTAACAATATTTGAATGTCGACTACAACATATAACTCAACGCTTTTCATATGATTTCAGTGGCTGCTTCGACATCTATTGATTCTACAATTAGGATCTGGGACTTGAGCGATGGTTCATGTATGAAGAAAGTGACTACTGACCCACGCAAGTAAAATGGCGCCTAGTTTTTGCAAAGAGATAAAATCTTTCATAAAGAATATATTCCACTAAAACGCGAACGGATGATCATTTAGTGAAAATATGGACTGGCCAATATTCCCCGGATGGAAAGTATTATGTTACAGCCAATCCTTTTGGAAAAGTCTCGCTCAGGAAGACTGAAGACTATGAAGTGTATACTGAATACGACACCAAGGAAACCGAGAACAGGAAAAACTTCCCAATGTGCCTTCGTTTTGTATCCTTTGGCTTGGAGATTTGAAATACGTACATAATCCGAGTATATCTCCTTGATCACCAGAAATACTCGTCGTAGAGTCCTAATGGCAAATATATTGCTGTTAGCACCGAGAATGCTCTAATACATGTGCTTGATACGGAAACTGGCAAAAAGGTTCACGAGTTTACAGGTAAGCGAGCATGCCTTTTGGCATTACGAATGCCTTCAAAACCATATATGAAGCCATATCTGAGTTTTTTGATAGGTCATGCAGGCTGTATACGATCGGTCGATTTCTCGAATGACTCTTCCTTGCTAATCTCTGGATCTGACGATAAGACAATGAACATTTACGATGTGTAAATATAAAGTTGTTAGTTGTGTCATTTCGTTAAATGCATCCCGTTTTGCTTATCCATAAATAATCGTAATTACAGTAATCAGGGAAATAGAATAGCAAAGTTAAAGCATGAAGATTGGGTTGTCTCCGTCGCTGCGTCTCATAAAGAATCCGGATTTGTAGCGACTGGGTGAGCTGGATTACTGTCATAAATTTAGCTGCTGATTCTGTACTAGAACACAAGAAATGTACTCTACCTCTTTTGACAGGGGTTGCGAGGGTCACATTAAACTATGGGACTTGGGGGCTCGCGCATCTGTTTGCACGCTCGCGAATGATAATGAAGAGCCGGTAATTACAAAAGAGTCAATGGTATTTGTGTTGATTTTCACACTGTTGTTAACACATGTTTTGTCTATAGGTTTGGAGCATATCCTGGAATGCTGAAGGAAATACATTTGTTGCTGGATTTGATGACGGGTCACTAAGGGGATGGTGTTCTGCTTAATATTCGTGGGCCAATTAACTGTAAATGAAGAGCCGGAATATTTCAAAAAAAAAAAAAAAAAAAAATACACAATACATCGGATCGCGCGAACGCAGATATTTGATGCGTGCTAGTTTCAAGCGTCGAATTTCTTGCCCAACTATTAAACTATTTTTCGTACGCTTAGAAAGTCTATACATTATTCAGGGTATTATTTTTTTTTCCTAATAACGATAAAAGCAACAATCCCAACAATGTGTGATATTCTGTCGTGGAATTGCTTTCAAAAGTCCCTCTCACTTGCTATTCATTGTCCGCGCTCTGGTAATCTTTCTCTTGACTAGTATCATCAACACGCTCCTCTTCTTCTTCCACCTCTTCCTCTTCCACCTCTTCCTCTTCCACCTCTTCCACCTCTTCCTCTTCCATTTCTACCACTTTGTCATCAAACCTCCGAATTTTGTTAACTTCCTCGCCACACCTTAAACATCTCCACATACCACCGTCCAGAATTAACTTACTTTTTATGCAATAATAACAATATACATGTCCACAATTTGTCTCGTAAGGATTGTTAACCCTTGTGGAACTACTCGAGATCGAAACACCAGCCGACGCAGCATAACTCGACTGATTCTCATGACATATAGCGCAAATATGGGAAGGAAGGAATGCGAGCGTATGAGATTTTATGTACGACTCGGGAATTAGATTACGAGTGATTTTGTTTTTGAGTTTACGGAGGTTGATAAGCGGTACCAGAAAGAGAAGAAATTCCTGAAATTAATATTTAAATGTTATACGTTTGTGTTCAAAGGCCGATAAATCAGTAATGTCACGCACCGTGAAAGTATGCCATATTAGTTGTCTATTCAGGAATTCGAAACTGATTTGTCTGTTCATAACCCGTCGAGCATAAACCAAACGCATCGAAAGCATGCGTTCAACTAGAGTGCGATAGCTGGGATAAATGACTAAAGTAATAAGCGGCATATACTTGAGACAAAAGATTGTATCGATTCTCTCCTCCACACTTACCGGCCGTCATACAAAAAAACTAGAAAGTTAATCAAGGCCGATGTATAATACAGATGTTCTAACTTTTGTAGTGATTTCCAGAAGATCTTGCGTGGATCATTCTTTGATTTTACAATCGAATAAATAATTTGAATTGTATGAGAACAAGAGTATGTCAAAGACACTTGTTTTGCACGATTCTTGCAAGATTAAATTACAAACCTCAGCCAAGTCACCCCAGGAAAAAGCCGTAACTAGTCTATTGACTTTCGCCCACACATACTGTCCACCGATTGTAAACAATCCGAATAGTACTCGCCGCATTTTTGATAGTGGTGCATCATTTGCTGTTGATTGAACTGAAAGACAAAATGTACTATAGTAGAGTAGATGAACCCAAGCAATATGCAATTCATTACTGAAGAAACTCACGTCCTCCACTGTGCATTTTCTCGTTCCGGTATTTCAAGTTTTGGAGCTGGGCTCCAAAGCTAGCTCCAGTTTCATAAATCGAAAACCGATAGAGAATAAATTGCATTATTGCCATTAGTTCCAGTTCATATCTCTTATAATAGGGCTGATACACATAAAGTAGCAGAGAAATTCATCACATAATCAAATGGTGAAACTATAAATGATCAAAAGAACCAACTGCATTTCTCGTATCGTAAGAATATGCCTACATCAAGCAGTGAGAATGCTTGCCATAATTGTTCCTTAAGCATTGCAAACAGCTCTGTATCCAATAAATCAGCATCCAGTTGACTGACGCGCAGTATACGGAGAGGAGGAGATGGGAACGACGCTAGTGAGCGTCGAATAGATGATAATGTATTCTGTGCACGTATCCAGTCATTCTTCCAGAAGGCTGATTCTGATTCTGATGCTGATGCCACATTATTGTTTTGTACGAGTATGGCATTTTCTGGCTGGGCATTATTAACGGTCGCCGGCTTTTGTTCTGTGGTTTTTGTTGATGCCGCTGACATTTTGTGTGAGAGGTTGAGGTGCTCGATATTCTGATCTATTTAACAATTTCATTGTAGGACTTACCATTTCGGTCAAGGCATCAACAGTGTAACGTCGAATTATACGCTTCTCTGAAAATGCATCCCATTAATTTTTTTGCCCACAGGTTTCCGATGGGGTTATTTGGATGGCTAGCCAGTAGTCCAATTCCGGATTTATTGTCTTGTTTTGACACGCCATACATACGTTCTGGAATACCTTTCGTAGGTGTTATTAACAAACCTTCTTGCCATACATACAGTATGTTGGGCAGCAGGCCATAGTTATGTCTACAATATACATTATTTACATAAAATGCTCATCTATAAGGCATTTTCCCAGCGCACATTTGCTATCCAAGCGACACGAGCGACGCTTTGTGTACCCTTATAATAATGCCCGTTATCATTCTTATGCTCAACAAGTTCCTGTTTTTTACAACAGCGTATTGGTTTTTTGATGTATTTCCTATAGGGTCAAGCCACGGGTATAAGGACTCCCTTTAAAGACGCGTTATAATTTATACACTCTTCGACTAAAGTTCTGAACGGAATTGTCTATTGTTTGGGTGGCTAAAATAAGCCGCCCAAGTATCAGATCAGACTGGAAAGAATAATTCAATTATCGGTGCAACACTTTGCTATACTTAGTACAGCGTTTATATGTCAGCTAATTTTTGAGAATACCACCCGGTAGCTGTTTAATTAGGTATTTAATTGCGCGCTTAATATTAACCTATACATAAATTCTCTACCAACAAAAATTTAATAATCGTTGAATCGGAGAATTTAAACTTTTTTTTTTGACGCTAACTTTGATTTGGTATTTTGACATGTCATTATTCCGTCACGCGCTACTATTTATTTCATACGTTATTATTAAGGATATGAATCTACATCGTGTCGCTTTCCGCTATCCGTATCAATATCTTTAACGTCTTTGCTTATTCGATAATCCGAATCGTATCGACTTTAGAAATAACTGTTATTTAGATTTAAAAAATCATAAATTTGCAATTTCTAACGTAATATCAATAATTTTGTCGATAGAATTTTGGTCATATTTATAATCAAGCATTTGACACACGCCATGTCTAATTTTTAGGAACATCTAATTGTCGGATTATGGGCGGGACAAGAAAGTGTTGTATTCCACCTCAATTGTAGGGAGGTAGTCACGATCGGTATAGGTTATGCTTAATGACGGTGGTGTTTTAGGCAGCGAGTTGCATTGCTTTCTCATACGTTATTGTAGTTAAGATTGGCAGTCGATCCATCCGGTGTTTCGCGACCCCCATATCAACCACGTAAAGAGAAGCCTACAGTAACTTCGGATCAACTATTAAATAATCCGTTTAATTCTAATGTATGCTAATATGTAATTTGTAAATATGTTATTATAGGGTTATTACACGCTTAACTGCTAATCTCCGATTCTGCCAGCTCAAAGCAATGTGTTTAGTGCGAAAAAATATCAACATGCTTAATATCGAGTTTGGATTGTAGATTACAAAGATTTACTATTATTATAAATTTCGGATGGTAAATCTCAGGGCCAGCAATTCGAATTAAGAGTATTCGCATTAATGAGGTCGACTATTCAGGGTAATGCGTGTGCTTCCGTTCGTTTGTTAGATAGCGTAGGAGTAGTCGTTCTTGTAGGCGGAGGGGTTGATCTTTGAGAAAGATCTAGACCGTTGCTTTCTCTCCTGTCTTCTTTGATTTTTGCTTTAACAACCTCAAAGTCATCATCACGATGCTGCCGTTTGTTTGACTTCCTTGACAGCAAAGCATGACTTTTCATAGGCGTTGGCAATTTCTCCATTCTTTCTTTGCTTTGACTTGTGGATTGCAAGAAATGTATTGACATAAAATTGTGCCGCGTCTCAGATAAAACTATCTTTGACATTGATTAATCCTCAGAGGTTGTAGGGCAATCGGTAATATAAGGATTCTCGTCGCGTAATCAAAATTTGACTGCCACAAGAATTACATGCACAAGACCACTTTCAACATTCTTCAATCATAATAATAATAAGAAATCTTTGTCGGAAAGCTTTCTCCATTGATATGTCAACCACTCAACTGAGTCATGATATGGGTGATTCTAGTACTACTATTACTAATAACAACCCAATGTAGTAGCATATACGATCGGCCGTGAAGTCAGACATACAGAAATGACGCTGAGTTAAACGTGGTTCTCTGACAAAAATTAACGGTAATACGGATGCGTCCGCAGGCCCATCAATAGCAAAAAATGCATATTATACTGAGCTAAAGAAAGTGATTAGGTGAACAGTAGATGCTACAGGGCTTGACTACCAACAACGAACGTTCAGGCATATGAATTCTGTCTCGTTTATGATTTATTATTAAACTTAACTGGAATAATGAATCAGGAATGGTTTGTTGTTGGCTGGACCCATGCCATGCTCCTTATTATACTCTCGTGGTTAAGTTACGTTTTAACTTTCGTCAGCGATACACTTCCCGGGGGAAAAGTATGCCGGTCGGAATTTTTTATGTAACAATAATAAAAGAAATTTACAGTGGATACCAAAAAGTTTGTGAATTTTTCACATGATCACCCTAAATCCGAATAAGCACGAAAATTCTGATCATAGACAAAATCGTATGTAAGCATGCTATTCTTACCAAATTTGACATAGGCATAGTCCATTAACC